GGAAATGCTATAGCATTATTTATTTCGAAGCTATTTTGAATAGTAGTCTATTAAAAACAACAGATGTTTGAGTTCAAAACCACTACAATATTAACAGCAAGGCAGAAAAATATTCCTGAGAAGTAAACAGTGAAAAGGCCTTAACAGACAATATTGGGTGCTAACATCATCACACTTTAAAGGCATAACTGGTTTCTCCCTTCATCTGATCTGCCAGAATCAGTCGCCCAGCCCTCTCAATAGAGGTCAGAGAGGTTTAAAATCACTGAAGGCGGTAAAGCTCAGTCACAGCAACAGAAACAAACACAGCAGTGTCAATCCACACAATTCTTTACACATTTCAACATGCAGTAAACCGCGAACTCAGTCTGACAATGAGAACGAGACTATTTACAAGGCGTCGCGCGCGTGTTAAACAGTCACAATCTTTTAGCCAGTTGAACAACAGTCGTCCTGTAATTCTCACATCCCAGACTCCGCGAATGAACTGTAACGATCGCTGGGCTCGTTAAAGGGTTAAAATTAAACGCGCGTAAATGTATCAGTCAGTGAAGTGGAACGCTTGTTCTTTGTTTACATTCGCGGAACAGAATTAAAACGCGTTTCTGGCGCTAATTTCGCTCGCGCTCCGAAAACAAAACAATCAGCGGGGGGGAATTTCAGATCAAACCCACAAATAACAGATCGACTCCCATTATTGGATCGGGTTAAACTCATTTGCTACGACTACGCGCTGCTGTCAGCGATGCTTCGCAGCACACACATACACACAGGGCGAATAAATCTGAACTTACTGGTTTTGACCATGATGATGAATACGGTCTGTGATAATGGCTAGATGTCATACAGGTTTTAAAAAAATGTGCAGAGGGACTCTGAAATCTGCAACGTCTGGCTCATATTCAGCCTATTATTCATCTAGCAGACACCAGAACGGACAGAGACAGTTTTAACACATTTCAAAGCCAGTTTTAGCACTGATACGGAACGAATAGGGCGCATAAAGGAACGTAAAATGTGTAAAAGAAAAGCCACTCGGGTTCGCAGACACCCACTCGGCTCTCTAACGTTACTACGACAGCGTCCAGTCTGAGACGCGACCGAAGCGCGCGATGCACGCATATCGAGCTCACATCGCACAAAAAAAAACATCGAAATGTCTTTACGAATAAGCTAATCTTTTTGTAGCGTTCACAAAAATGTGTCAACCGAGCCAGCTAAATATAACTCCGCCTTCTTCTTCAAGCGGCCCTCGCTCTTCGGAGCAATACAAAATGTGCGCACGCGAGCAAAACGCTTCCATCCAAACCCACACTTAAATAGTTGAACGAAATAATGCGGTTACCTGCCGTGAAACCAGTCTTTGCAGGCGTCGCATTCGATCATAAACTGGGTTACGTCGTAAGGTAATCTGCAGATGCAATACACGGGTACAGTCGCCATGTTAGATCAATTCACAACAACAGCCGGAGAGATGGATGGGGGCAGCAGGAACCTCCCGTAACACAAACTACAGCGATACGAAGAGCCGCGGAGCTGCTCCTGCGTCCATTCGACCGTTCCTCAGATCCGACGTTACAACGTTGCGATGTTAAAATGTTTCCCGCGCTGCATTGACGTGTTCATGCCCCCTGGTGACTATACGAGCTCCGAGACTCTCGTGAAGCCCAAGAAAATGCATCCTTTCATTGTAATATTGTTACGTCAGTCTACAAGACGGGAAAAATCGCCTCGGTCATGCTGGTCCAGATGAATGGAGCTCATTAAACGCTGCGGCTGCTTCTTAGGGTTTCCCGGGACGAGAGAAAGACGAAAATCCACCGGCAGGATCTCCAGCCGACCGTCGAAGCAGCTGCAGCAGAGTCTGTGACACGTTAATAAGGGCTCATGCGGTTATAAGGCATACGAGCGATAGGATTAAAAGCACCGAGGGCTACTTCAAAACTGGACGAGCTCTGTATTTTTAACTATAGATATATTGCAAACTAAAAGCAAAAGTGACAGAACTTATCCTGTGAAAAACTTTTAGTGCAAATATTTATTTATTTATTTTTTGAAGAAATGACATATATATATATATATATATATATATATATATATATATATATATATATATATATTAGTAATTATTAACTAATATTAAGGAACTATTTATAAGTAATATATATATATATATATATATATATATATATATATATATATATATATATATATATATGAAAAACGTTTAGTGCATACTGTATAATTATTTTTTATAGAATAAATGACTTAAGTAATATATATATATACATATAATACATATATAATACACAGTAATTATTAACTATTATTAAGGAATTATTAACAAGTAATACTACTTTGTAGTATTATGTAAAAGACTACTTTGAGGAATGTAAACAATGACCCTAATGTATTTCCTGTTTACATTTTTCATTTCCATAGCTTCCAAGAATCCAAAAATAGCCACATATTGATAACTACTGCTATGGTAGTTGTTTTAACATGAAAAATGATTGCATTGCCTCTTGTTACAATTATGATATAGTATGAGAACAAGCAGGAAATGTTCGATGGCAGAGAAGATTACGACATTAAAATGGACTATAAATAGCTTATACACACACAAGAGAGAAATTACATCAGTTGCAATTATTAATAAACATATATAGATATAAAACAGAAGCTCTGAGACAAGGTAAAGCTATATAACTGCAAATGAATAGTAGATTAGGGCAATGTACCAATAACACAGTTTTGGTATTTTCCATCAGATATCACAATGATAAAGCCTTAATTTTGTTAAAGATTACCAGTTAAACAAATAGTTTGTCATATCAATACTGTATTCAATATATTCCTACTACTAATATAAAAATACTTTTTATAATATTGTATATGCCCATAAAATCATCTTAGACTTGACACAAATTTGTAAATAAAATTAATTTTATACGTTGTGCTCACAGCATGACTGCAATTAAATAATAATGCAAGTTTCTATTAGGATTTCCATATTTAATTTGGAGCATATTCACAATTATTACACTTTGAAAATTTCATTTTTATACAACAAAAAAATTGGTAAAATTGTATAATTCAGAATAAAATAGGCCGGAAATCTGACCATCAAAATTAATGTACACATACAGTGCTCAGCATATATAAGTACACCCCTTACAAATCTCTTTTAAATTCATATTTTTAATAGGAAGTTATACATTATTATATCAGTGCACATACATTAGATTAGTCAGTACTGAAGCCAAATCTGGAGCTAACAAAATAACTTATGATAACAGAAAAAAACTAGTACTGCCAAAGTTATGTTATATATATAATATTTTAGCAGCGAATATTTTGCTTGAATTTAATTGCATCATATTTCAATTTCAAAATATGTTTGGTAAATAAAATATTATTTGAACAAATATATCTGTTTAATAAATCTGTTTTGTTTAAATGCACCAAAATACATTGCCTATAATGACTGATAGATAGATAATAATATTCATTTTCAAAAGGGGGAGTCCTCAATTATGCTGAGCTCTGTAAATACAAATACGTGTATGTGTGTGTTAAAAAAACTAGTTAGATGAAAATTAAAGAAATCAAGTCACCTGGGTTCATAAAGTTCACTTGGTTTTCTGAAACATGACTGCAAATTTGACCTGTTGGTGGTGCTAGACCGTCTAATATGGAGTCATTACACTTACTCTATCAGTGCTAAATGTCATAACTTTTCATGGTTCTCTAGGCTGCAACAGTCACATTCACAGTCAGAAACAGAGGAAGATGAAACTATCAGTTTGCGTAGAAGTTAATAGTGAAGTAAAACAAGTTGAGTATTACCACACACTAAATGTTCTGTTTTTAGAATATTGCTGATTATAGAATACTGAGTTTATGACTAATGAACATGACTTGACAGTTTATTCTCCAGGGAACCTTTATCGTAACACTGTGTGATCTTCAAAATAAATCTGACGTGACAGCAAGAGCATCTTGTAAACAGAGTAAAGCTAGAGATCATCAACCCATAAAAGCAGACATACACAGAGAATTATTCTAAAAGAATAAAGATTTTTATTAAGCATTGTAAGTTGCATTCAATTTCCTTCGAAATACATCACACCACAACCCATCAACAATCACTCAAACCCAACAGTAGTTCATTCTTTAACAACCCATGAGTTAGGAAGAAACTCCGATCAACTTACATCAAGGTAACCTACTTAGACTTGCGGCTGGGGACTGAGGGGAATACACCATATTTCTGATCACTAATGTGCAATGAAAAGCATCAGGAGGATTAGATGGAGAAGTAATGATTCTCGTTTAGAAGTACGTTTATAACACTAAAGTAAACATCAAGTGTACTTGCTTAGGCTAAACTCTCAAATGGGAGGGTCGAATGTTTCGCAAAAACTTGTATCGAGCTAAGAAAAGGGGGAGAATTTATCAAGATCAAAGCCATTTTTTCTCAAACATTTTGTTTTTTCAGAGATGATCTGCTAGTATGAATGCGGAAAACAGCAACAGAGAACAGTAATGTATACAGTGATGAGTACAGCAGGATTAACAATATTTAAAGTGGCTAGATAATGTTGGAGTAAATACAACAGAGGTCAATAAATCACAAAAATAATCAACTTAAGGTTAGAGCAAATCAGTTACTGACTAACAGTTAACACCTTTTATAGGACTATTACTGATTATCAGCCTTTATTTTTTCAATTTTGCAGATGGGCACAGTATTTGTAATGAAGAAATAGGACAACATGCATCATAACTACACACCATTTTGTTTGTTTAAAACTTTTAATCGTGAGCCATGCAGAAAGTTTAGCTGAGACAGTTGTACTAATGTGCTACGGCTGATTCAAGAAACCACGGTAATCGCTGATCACTGATGCATGGCGTTTTCTGACACGGAAAAAAGAGACGTCGGTGCTTTTCAAGAGCTTGTGAGGTTTTAAACCGTTTCTTTGACGCATTAACCGCTATCGTATGACATCGAAATCATCAGAACGCAAGATGCAGTAGTATTAACACTAGTTACTCAATGTCAAAACAACCGCACATTTGAAACAGGAGTAAACTCACAACGCTGACACGTGAGAAATGTGTTCTCTTTTTCAAATCGTGAGCTTTACGTTTTCAAACCATAAGATTAAAAGCATTTACTGTGACGATACAAACTCAATTACAATGGCAAATATATATATATATGGTACTTGAATCTCAACGTACTAAAACTAAAAGACTGGCAAAGGAAAATCAGTTATTTCAGTTTCTCTATTTCATCGTGAAAGTAAAATAATTTCATGTAACCAGTTCTGAAACGTCGACCAGGGAGAACACAGTCTATCATCATCATGAAACTGCTATGAATCTCCATTTTTTTGACTTGTATATCTATGTTTTACCGAGAGGTTTTCTCATCATTGCTTGTGGTTTAAACTCGTTGACATTGAAGAGGGATTTCAAAGATTCCCAAGTCCTCGTTTTTCACTTTGGAGAGGAAAAAATGTGCACCAACTGTAGGCCTTCCATCCTTCCAAATATTCCTTAACGCTTCACCATCTATCACCCTCTCTATAAAAATAGGTTTACTCTTCTGCTTTTAAGACGGCGACGCTCAGAGCTTCATCTCTGTGGCCCTCGCCATCTTCATTTAGTGCATTTAAATGAGGATTAGTATTGCACATTTTAGATTCGTTGCTAAAGGCACTTTCAGGTTGGTTTGGAGCCCTGCTTTCCCCTTGGTTCCCTATGAGCTGGTCTGCATCTTTGCCCTCCGCCAAGCCGTTTTCTGCCACTGTGGAGTGATCTGAGGGCAGATGTGGTGCGTCGGTCGCCAACTTGGGCTTCTTTCGGTCTTTTATCACTTCATAGGTTGAGGCAGCATATGCAGGCTTGCTCTGTTAAAATTAACGTCACACCATTTTTAGCGTCATTGTCCCATCGGTGGGAAAGCTAAGAATAAAAACGATGATGATCTTTGAGGGATAACCCAACGCACTGCATTTAATAAATAGTTTCCTGATATGTCCAATGACATTGTAGCAGCTCAATGTAAATGGCATGTAATGTAAAAGCTGCTCATAAAGTAATAATCAAAGTAAAGTACTAATCAACAAGTATTTAATTAAGAGAAACGGTTTACAATATAAATTCACCAAAAATACTTTCACATTGTAAACAATAAACATTTTAAACATAAGAAAACTATTGTTTAAACTATCTACAGAACAATAATAACTAGAAATGTAAATTTTCTGAAGAAAATCTGAGTGGCGCAACAATATCTCTGCTACAGAATATCATAGAAGCATGGGGATTGGTGCTTTAGACTCATGGTAGCAGTGACTAGCTACATGCTGATTCTAATTACATGCTAATTAAACTTTATAAAAATACATGAAAATATGCTAACTTTGTGCTAAGATATTAAACCATATTAGCATTTCCTAGCTACATGTAAAACATGATAGTAGCATTGAGTCATAGACTAAAACATTTTAATGTCATTCATAAAAATGTCCTATCTGTGATGTTAATATGAATAGCACGTTGCTAGCATTAAGCTAGTCATCTGGAAATTATGCTAGCTACATGCAAATTGTTTTAGCCTCATAATAGCAACATGCTTATTGTGTTAGCATTATGTTAGCAACACGTACCTTTCATCATTGATAGTTCACAGGGTTTTTGCAGGTTTCTCAAAGTCAAATTTAAGACTTTAAGACCACGAAGAATGACATTTCAGACTTGTATAGGGCTAAATACCAGGGATATTTTTTAATGGCCCAGCAGAAAAAAAATATTTTTACTTGTCCCATCAAAAAACTGATTCTAATTAGTTATTAGTATATAGTCTTAGCCACATATTTTATATAGCAAATCAAAACAAGCAGACCCTAGTTTCATAAAAAAAAAAAAATCAACCTTTCTTAAAAAACCTCTTTAAAAACTTTATTAAATGAAAAGTATCCACAACAGACTTATAATATTAGTTATAAAAAGTTTTGCTAAAAGTTTTATTGAAATGTATTGTTGGTGATTGGATTTGTGTTTGATCGATTGTTTAGCTTTACATAAACAAAGGAAAATCAAGACCCGTTTCAAATGATTTATGACCTACGAGACAATATTTCAGTGAATTTAAGACTTTTCAAGGCCTAATTTACGACATTAAGACTTTTCAAGACCCCATGGACATTCTGACTATACTGTATCTTTAAATCAATTTGGTTTGTCTTTTCGTGCAGAATATAACAATTATTTACATAAAAAAAAAACATTACTGACTCGTTGACATTTGAACGATAGCGTATTTCTGTTATTTTAAAATATTGAAGCAGTGTGATTCACCTGGAATGATCCCTGACTCTTGAACCCTCTACTAAGGTATCTGGTTCCTCGTCCAAAGGTCCTTATGACAGGAGTAGAAATCACACCTCTTGGACGACTGTTCAAAAGAAGCAATAAAAAAAAATAATAATGGAAATTAAAAAAAACATACACATGTATAAAACTTACAGACTACAGTGAAATAAGTTTTACCAAACAGTATATATAAAATCATTGTAAGTTTCCAAGCAAGACATTGCAGGACAAACCAATAAAATGTGATGATTAATATGTAAATGAGGAGCAATAAAGCATAGTTAATTCTTACCCTCTGGTTGGTCCACCAACTGACACCACTTGTATGGGAAATGGGGCTCTTCCTCTGCCACGACGACTACCAGCCCACTGACCCACCACTGTGCCTGCAATCTCAAGCTTACCACCCTGTGATGGAATGGCCTGAAGTCCTACTTGAGAAGAATTAAAAGACAAATGAAACTTTAATAACATTGAAGAAACTTCTGTAATCAAACAGGGTTCCATTTTTCATATTAAAAAAGCCTTTAAGGATGGACCCATCAATGTTGTCAACCTTTTATCAACATCAGGTTATACAAAGCCTGTACCTGATTTTTTCCACTTAATGCTGGGGTTTTAAAATCAGTTCGTGGAAAGCTGCAGCTCTGCACAGTTTAGTTTCAACCCTGCTTCAATACACTTACCTGGAGGTTTAAAACAAGCCTGAAGGAATCAATTTGTTTGATCAGGTGTGTTTAATTAGGGTTAAAATTGTGCAGAGCTACGGCCCTCCAGGAACTGAGTTTGATACCCAAAGCACACCGCCAGATTATTAATGGTTTGGCTTCACAACAACTAAGTGAATGTCCTTGAGTGGCCCAGCCAGAGCCCAGACCTAAATTCTATTGAACATCTCTGAGGAGATCTAAAATGGCTGTACACCGTCACTTCCCATCCAACCTGATAGAGCTTGAGAGGTATTGCAAAGAGGACTGGGCAAAAATTCCCAAAGACAGGTGTGGCAAGCTTGTGGCATCATATTCAAAAAGACTTTAGGCTGTAATTCCTGCCAAAGGTGCATCAACAAAGTGTTGAGCAGAGGCTGTGAATACTGATGTACATGTGAATTTGTTGAAAAAACTATTTTTTCACATAGTCATTATGGGGTATTGTTTGTATAATTTTGAGGAAATCAATGAATTTAATCCATTTTGAAATAAGCCTGTAGCATAAAAAAATGTAGAAGAAAAGAAGCGCTATGAATACTTTCCGGATGCACTATATCAAGGAGTCTTGTGTGTTAATTGTATCCATCAGTTAAAACGATGATTTCTCCTTAAATACATTTTCTTCCTGCTCTTTTCTCTTTCATATGGAGAATATAAAAAAAAATAAGTTTAATGTTTTGATAACTGTGCACATTCACGGCTTGCACTGCAGCTGTGTGCGTCATCTGTTATTAGTGACTGACTGTAGTTTAATGTACAATAAAAATATAATTTGTCATTTCGTTTTCATAGAACAGTTATATATAGATGCATTAGTTGCAGAATTTAAAAGTAGTTTAATGATTTAAATGTGTTATATTGGATATTACGTCATTTAATGCGACTACGCATGACTTTACAGAAAGCTTATGACCTACTAACTTCGGTTTGCCTTAAAAACATGTAGTGCAACTGAAGTGTGAACAAATTTAGTTACAAACTAGCTAGTAGTTACTAAGCCCCTAGTAAAGACTTTGTTACAGTTTAAGAAAAGATCTTACGAACCGCTGGTGCAACTTTACCCTAAACTCTTGGAGAATTGTAAAATGAGTCTTTTCCATAAAAAGTTGAGTTTTCCTACAACATGTTACTTCTCAAACAGCATTATTAGCATTTAAATATTTTAGAATTAAATACACAACTACTAATGAAAAGGTGTTTGGCACGTGAATCAGCCTTACCAGGCATGCCTCTGCCTCTCCCCTGCATCGGGGGCAGAGGCGGCGGAGGGTAGAAGGTGCTGTTTGACGGATAGAAAGGCATTGCATGTGGAGGTGGCGGAGGGAAGGCAAGGGGCTGTGGTGGGCGAGAGAAGTTCAGACCCTCCAGAATACTCTGACGCATCTTCTCCACCTTGGCAACTAGTTCAGTCTGGAAACAACAACAGGTCATCCTTAATTTAAAATGCTAATTAAAAAGTTCTAATAGGTGAATTAATTGTAACGAAATGAAAAAGTCCGATCTATATAGTCTATAGACTTCAACCAAATATTGATTTCTTTCAAAATCATTGGTACATTGTCAAAACATTGGTACAGTGTTGTCTAAAAATAAATATGATAGAGCTGCATGATTTGGAGAATTTTTTTTTTACATTTTTCATTTTACACGGTTCCTTTTACAGCATTGATGTTGTAATGTAATTCAAATATAATTAGTTAAATAGACTTTGGCATTCATTTAGTTGCTCAAGCGTAAAAGGAGATGAAAAGCCATTTACACGCACACACCCGTCAGAATTAGCAGGTGAGCGCAGAAGCTCCATTGAATATACTAGGGTAAAATAAATGTTCATATTTTAAAGACATGGTGGAGAAAATGTAATTTAATGCAGTGCTTCGTGTACAATCTGAGACCCGATTTATATCGACTATCACTCAGCCAGTGGAGATTGCTGATTATCAAACGTGCTGATTTTGTAACAGAATACAGTTTACTGGAAGCACTTGACCCAGGTGACTGACAAATTAAAAGTCCTTCTGCATACTTCCGCTTATACGGTACTCTATTGCGATTTATCTGCTCAAAATTGCGATTTACAATGTGATTTACTACCGTTTTATAAAAGAGCTCCAGGTTTGATGTTGTGGTTTAAACCACACCAAAGAAAGTCCAAGCATAATTAAAGTAAACTACACTATAATATTGTTGATTTAAACATTGTTGCCATTTTTTCAAATAAAGTTCATATAATATGAACTCAAATCAAATATATATATATATATATATATATATATATAAACATCAAAAACATTAAAATCTTTCAATTTAGATTGTTTTACATTTTTCACATTGTTCAGGATAATGTGCTTACAAACAGTCAGAAGTTTCAAAAACGATATGCTTGCTTGGTACCCTATTTGATAGTGCCTTGAATAATAGTAGCTTTTGTGATTTGGAAATTGCACTCTTTCAAATCATGATTTCGGTTTGAAAGCGATTAATCCTGCAGGTCTAGAATATGCCCAACACAGTCTCACATCAATTCATAACTTCTTGATTTAGTGGGTAATTTGTATTTGTATGACCTCATTCGTACATTTTAGTATGATTTGCTCATGCCCCAGTGAGGGGTAAGATTAGGGGTGGGGTTTAAGACCACACCTCTTTTGAAGATGTAGTAGGTGATTGCCCTCAGCAACATTTTTTGTTGTGCCGATTAAGAGTCTTTTCACATTCCAATAGTAATGATTAAAGTAAATGATCTAAATGTATTTATATGTATTTTTTTTTATTCTGGGTTAGGCATAAGACTTAAAAATGTTTGTCCAATTCCAAAATACGACAGGTAACTAAAACTGTCTGTCAACAAATTTAAATTTCTGCGCAGCCTTTTTACGCAGATAGATACATCACTCGTGTGTTCACGTGAAGCACGAAAAATGCAGAATCAAAACTTTTCTAAGTCCTGAATCAATATTAGAATTACTTTTTCCAGCTGAAATGATGTTACGCAGATCAAAACCGCGATCAGAAGCGTGACACCATAACTGAAGTATTACCTTTAAGAAGGCAGCAAATTTTAGCCACGCAAATCTTATGTAGATTGTGTTCTTGTTTATGAATGGGTTTATATGCACAGAAGTGTTGCTCAGCCACTGAAAACGTCCGACGAAAGAATGGTTAGTTTCAAGTTTATGGGGTATCTTGTACAGCATCTATAATATAGTTCATTAAACAGAACTAAGCCTTCATTTAGTTGTTCAAGTGTAAACAGAGATGTAAACAAGCGATGTGCGAGGATCAGCGAGCACAATTGAAAATGAAAAGTCGCTCGTTGGTGTAAGTGTAAATGTAAAACAATGTCAGGATATTTCTGTTTTCAGCACTCCTTTTTCTGATCTGATTTTTATTTAGTCGTATAACGAAACATAAGTAAATAGTGAGCCTCCGCCTAAACAGATTTACTATGGTGAAGTTTGATTTATAGTAACACATTCATTCATTTTTGAACAGTGACAACCTGTGACACTCCCACTCTCTCTAACGTTACTTCGAGTATTCAGTCTGAAATAAGAATAGAAATGACTTCAAAACAACATTAGCACTATTTAACTGACTGTGAACAATGGTGTTTTTTTTAGTAACTGGATGATTATATGATTTCACTATTTAGAATCTGAAAACAATACTTTTCCGAAACCAGATTGTCATCTATTCGGTGTGCGTTTGCGTGTTTATGACTTAATTATGCTAATACTAATGTTCTAAAAGATCACCTAGTGCACCTTTGAAAAAAACCTGTCGTCTAAAAAGTAATATGTCCAACACAATCTTACGCCAATTAGTAACTTTTTGATTTAGTGGCTAAATTGCATTACACTAGGGGTGGGGTTTGGAGCACACCTTTAAAAAAAATAAATAAATAAATAAAAAATAAAAAAAACGTTTTCATTCGAATTAAATCATATGAATTTGAACAAATTAGTCACTTTTCTTACAATATGTAAAATTGTTGAATTTCCTTTCCAAGATCAAGCGGAAGTCTGAAAACATGGTGCGTTTTTGGTATTTCATGCAAAAACAAATTGTGTAAATAACATTTTCATTTTAAATTTGGAAGAAATGTCATCAGTAGTTGAAGAATTTAAAAGTGTATATTTATAGTTTTACTTATAAAACTGTACCAGTTAACATACTGCTTCTTACATCTAACTTCTTGAGTCAGCCAAGGATGTTTATTTTCCTGCCTCAGGGATCAATAATAAAGCACCAGAAGCTGATAGTGTACCAAAACTGATTCCAATCCACTCAGAGCCCAAAGTTTCATCATAAATCTTTTCTGTGCTACTTCAAGATCGCCATTAAATCACCCTGTTTATAAATCATGTGGTTCTGGACTACAAAATAAAATACTTTTTTTTTTTTTTTTAAATTGTGTCGTGGCAATTTTACCTGGCCATCGCAGAGGTCAATAAGCGGGGCCTTGTCCCTGTTGGCCCGGTTGAGTTTACTTTGTAGCAGCTTTCCATCAAAATACATCCACGGACAGCAGTGTTCCCATGGAATAGGCTGCCCGCACACATCATTGGCAAACAGCGCCATATCCACGCCGCTCATAAAAAGAGCAGCCAGCTGAACGCCACGTGGATCCAGGTTATCAATCTGGAGGCGACAGATGCAGTGACAGTCAAACAAAGCTCTTAAGGGTAAATAAGCAGCTACATGCTACACCAGCCGGCAGATTACAACCCCTCCCCCACCGGCCAAAGCACAAAGCAAGCATGAACAGACCATAATCTATCCATATTTAAAAGCGCTCCAGCCAATTCAGCGAGAGCGACCAGCAATGGCAGAGGCGAAGCAAAAAGCGCGTACAGAACTGACAGACATGGACAGCCACAACACAGCACAGCTAGTGTGGATGGTTCACATGTTTTTAGGAGCTCAGTCCAAAAAAAAAGAAGCTTGCAAAGTAAACCATCGACACAAAAAAGACCACATTCCTAGCACTCAAGTTGCTCAAATGCCACGTCTTTTTCACCGAAAAAGCTGACTAACATGCTTTTCACATAAGCATTAGGGCAAGTCAGTCTGGCAAGCGTTCGCACAAATAAGAAGTGTCCAGAAAAATACCTAAAACCACACTTTCTTAACAAGAGTTTTTTGCTTTGAACATGTTAATATGGAAACATACTTTATTTTGAGATCTGATTTTTCACATAAAATAAAAAGAGGCCCATTCACACCAACTTTAAATGTAAAAAAAACAAACATAAAACCCAATAAACTCCTTTATTCTTAGTATTTATTTACTGTAATCATTTAATGGCCACCTATTTCACCCCTTTTTCAAGTTTTAAGGTAAGTCTTTTGTCTCCAGAATGTTTCTGTTTAAAACATCCATCAGATTATTCATTTCACCTTCCCGAATATTGCATTTTCTGCTCTGAACACAATGTAGCCATTTTTATTGCCTGTGCCTTTAATGCTAGTCCTGCCCACTGTTCCCTCGTGCCTGTCAGTACCTCAATCTCCACCTCGGCTGCGTCAGATAAACAGCACAGTGACAGACATGAAAGAAGCAGATCTCACGTAACGTTTGTGAGAAATACTTCAGTAAGAACTTTCCCGATGAATATTTGATGTAATTGTTGTGGAGTTAATGACTCGATGAGAACGATTAGTCGTGATTTGCTGTGAGTTTTGTACGGCAAATGTGACAGGATACAAGTTAATTTCCACTTCTGTAGGGATATCCATTATTCTAATGAACAAAATAAACCTGATTTAACGTCCACAAACCGGAATTGAAGCGTCTTCTTTTACAATTGTACGGACATGTGGCTGTGGCATGTGGTTCTTGATCACATTTGATGATGATTGATGATCACAGTGAGCTGAACAGATCTTTTAATCCCGGTTGACATGATAATACGCGTTTCTATAGATTCATGTTAATACGAGGCTGTCAATCAATTCGGTGGGCGGAGAAACAGCACTCCAACACCAGGTTGAGTTGGGCCTCAAAATGGGAGGGATTTAGATCCTTTTTTACCGCCAGGAAATTAAAACAAAAGAGACTCATTGTGTTTCTAACACTCCGATATGACAGTGGACACACTATACCTACACATAGTTCTGTCCAAACAGCTTCCAAAAGATGATTTGCATCATAGATGCCCCTTAAACATTTGTTATATACTAATATAAAATATATTTAAAAATTGCTTTAGTGCTTATCCAGTTTTTATAAAAACTAATTTAAGTCTTAAGTGTGTCATCATACTGGCCTACAAGCAAGCCGGTCGCAGAATTTCTCACCATTAGCTCATAAAATGTATTTAGACATTTAAACTTATTTAAGAGAACGACAACTTTGTCAAGAGACAAATGTTTTCTGACTATTTTTCATGTCCTTTCAGTGGCACGTGCCTTGATGTGAACGAGCCTTTAAAGTGCATTTTGGGGCATTTTCTGGACACTCCTCATGCAACATTCTCCACATAAATCACCTTCAGGTCCTGCAGCTGGTCAGGCTCATAAAGTTTAGGAGAAAGTGCTTGAGCTAGGAAAGCGTCAAGTTCGTTACGACGCAAAATTCTTACTCCTGGCCATTGTAACATAAACCTGAAGTAAAACACAAAGGAGTGAAATATTACAAATAAACAAGAGCTGGCAATTGAGGCCCTTTTCTGTAACGGTTTAATCCATTTCTGATCTGAAGGAGAGCATTTAACAGTATCTTCACAAGGTCTACAGAGGGTTGGGAAACCGCGTCTATGCTTACCGCAGAACGCAGCACAGCACCATGAGAGGTGTGGGGACGTTGGCAGGGTTCAGCATTGCTGGAGTGTCAGACCTCATGCAGGCCAGAAAAGCCCTCATCCTGCGGTTCTTGTCCTCCACTGCTTTGCCCAGCCAGAGTTTCTTCAGGTTTGGGCAGGTCCACTCTCGGAAAGGTAGAGCTTCCACCAGTTCAGGGGTGTGTGGTGATTTGCCTTTGTAAGCAGCCCATTCTTTTATGATTACCGCTGGATCTACAATGACAGAAGACAAACAGAGCGGTTAGTCTACAGGTTTGGCACTTCGAAACATTTGCTTGACCGGTGTTTTGACAACATATATATTGTGTATGTCATAAACATTTATTCTTTTTACATTTTCAACCCAAGCTATGTTCAAATGGGTTGAAACCTGATGACTTGCTTTACTATGTCCAAGTACTTTTTCACGATTTAACATACCGATACACATTTTTCATTCCAACTTTTTATATTTACAGACAAACATTCAATACCTTATTTGAACATTTTTCAAGTTCCTTGGACTGATTATTTGTTTGCATCATGTATCCAAAGAACACAAACACTATTGGTCACACTTTATTTTGATGGTCCATTTGTTGAATTAAGTTACATTGCATCTACAAGCCAACTAATACCCATTAGATAATAAGTAGACTGTTAGGTTGGGGTTAGGGTTAGTATAAGTTGACATGTACTTGCAAAGTTTCTAATAGTCAGCTAATGTCTGTTGAAGGAGCAGTGTCAACAGGTACTCACTCAACAGCACCATCTCCTTCAAATGGACCATCAAAATAAAGTGTTACCACATTATTTACCCCTGAAGCTCTATGTGTTTGTTTTGGATGTAAACATTAAATGATGATTTGTTTGTTGTAGTATCGGAGACACAAGCTGTGAAGCCTCTACCCTCTTATGAAAAGTAGGCGGAGAGCAGCATCTCATTTGCAATTAAAAAGACACACACACACAAACACACACAAAAGAGCGTTTCTGCTGTACCCCAAAATGTGCATTTACAGAGATAAACGAGGTCTCTTGAGTTGAAATGTTTAAAAACACATTATTGTTGAGCTCATTTGGACCTAGGCCTTTCACGATATCTATTTTTTGTTGTATAATATATTGCACCAAAATATATTGTGATAAATGATATTTTTATGATATGTCATTTTATGGCATTCATTATATAATGCCTGAATGACAATATAAAATCATCACAATGTTCAGAGTACACTCTTCTAAAGAACACAAAATATTTTTAACAATTTAATAAAGAGCCATTGGAATCAGAATGTGAAAACGCATATCCTAAATAAATAATGATAACAAAAACAAAAAAGTGCAAGGTAAAAAGTAACAGGCTACAATATCTGCTACCAGAACTTTGTCCAGTCGTCAGACACCCACATGAAAATATACCATAGTAATTCATAGTAAATGCTAGAGTGTTTTTAACCATACTGACACTGACACCTCCAATAGAGAAAGAGAGGCTGCACAATCAGCTAAAATGTTGCTACAGTTGTTTTTTATGTATGGGCCACAAATAGTGCATCACCAAAAACGATTTTACAAACTTCAAATAGATTAACAATCTTGAATAAATTGATAGCAGATAATAACTATCAAAATGTTTGTCAGTGGCATTAAAATGGTACTGCTTTATTTAAAAATTTTCAGACTTGAATACATTTTATAATTAAATCAAATATTTTCATATTCCTGATATTATTATCACATTTGTTGACTGTCAATTCTTTTTTCCTGGCTTAATAAAAGCATATGCTTATAGTCGGCCTGCCTTGAAAGGCTTAGCTGAAAATAATTGCTTTAATCGAATAAATGAATGGAATGCTTACCGCTGTTCTATTTTCAAATCTTGTATTCTAATTGCAACAGTGTAAAATAAAGAATGCCAACATGAACAGAGCTAATGTCAGTTTTTAAATGATGCTAATTGTTGAAATTAATTTGCCCGGTAACAGCCTAGAATAACAAGCTAATGTCAACACTCTCAAGAGCACTTTCTGAGTAATTAAATCAAGCATCAACAGGACCCTGGAGAGAATTTATGCAGTAAGGGCAGGGTTGGGAATTGAGAACTGACTTTAACATTTAGCCGATTCCAAGTATAACAGGACACTGGAACTCTGGACTATGCGATATGATCAAACTTATTAACCTTTTACCATTATCAACTGAAGAAAAATAAGGTTTAAACAAGGGTGGCGCAGTGAGTAGCAATGTTGCCGCACAGCAAGAAGGTCGACGGTTTAAGCCTCAGCTGGGTCAGTTGGCATTTCTGTGCAGAGTATGTATGTTCTTGTGTTGGCGTGGGTTTCCTCCGGGTGCTCCAGTTTCCCCCACAAGTCCAAAGACATGCGGTATAGGTGAATTGGATAAGTGAATTGTCAGTAGTGTATGTGTGTGAATGAAAGTGTCTGATGTTTCCCAGTGTTGGGTTGCAGCTGGAAGGACATCCGCTGCTTAATACATTTGCTGGATAAGATGGTGGTTCATTCCACTGCGGCAACCCCAGAACCCTGGATGAGCGTGGGCGGCGCTGAGAGCAGCAAGCCAGACAAAGTGATTGTTTACAAGTGTTGAGCCCCATGAAGAAAGCTCCAGATGAAAACTGTTTTGTGTTCACCTCATGATTAAAGTTGTTGCACGTCCACCTGTTTCCGCCTCTGAAAGAGTGTTTCAGCTACTTGTAGCATTCAGAAAAAAACGAAACACCCGCAAAGAAACTTCAGATTGTTATTGCAGAGCAACACAAACAACAGGCACAAGAATAAATACACAGCTACATGCAAGGCTTGTGCCGTGGGTCACGCAAACGACTCGATCAAGAAGTATAAATAAGCCTATAATTAAAAATTATAATGAACAAAATTAACTAATAATTAATTTTTTAAAGATCCATTTTAAATTTAGAATGTGCTGTTTTTGCACTCAGATAAATATTTAAACACACAAAAAAAATCTTCTTTCCCAATAATTTGTGAGTAGATGAACGGAAAGATAATGCATCAGGCAAAAACAAGATAAACAGTCCGCTTGGTGTCTTTACTCACATTCAGGGAGACAATTTCTCCTCATGGCCAGTCTCTCGGCCCTCTTTTTGGCCTCGGCCAGGCTGAAGAGCACCCCGTAAACATACTGACGAATAGGCCGGTAAAGCTGTACCGCAGAGGGCAGGTCTTTATTAGCTTCATCCTCAATGGTGACCGATAATTTAATCTCACCCTGCAAAAAATAAAAACAATCACCATAAAACCTGGTTAACAAAAACTGCATTGAAAGGTGCAGCTCCAAGATCTAGCTAATAAACACTGACCTTGGTAAGAACGTGGTAGATGTATGGGTACATGAGGCCCTTTTTGTGTCTGTGCTCAGCGACCCGCAGCACCTCTGGCGCCACCACTGGTAAAGGAGGAGTGGTGATGTCCATGTGGTTTCTTGTTGGCATTGAAAGCAGGGATGGAATCTGGACGTTGACCCCGACATGACCTTTGCCCTCCAGGCCTTGGTTCACAGGAGAGGTCGCAGAAGGATCAGACTGGAAAGAGAAATCCCAGTATTTAATAATTGGACATACTAGTCTGTAGCATAGTTCTATTGAGATAATAGTTCTCATTTAGTTAGAAAATTAATTTACTCATTTAATCATTTACTCCCAACTAATTGTTCCAAACCTCTTTGAGTTTCTTTATTCTGTAGAACAAAAAGAGGAGATATTTTGAAGAATGTTGGAAACCTGTAGTCATCGACTTTAAGGGTATTTTGTCTGGAAGCCAATAATCACAGGTTGACAACATTCTTCAAAATATCTTCTTTAGTGTTTTAAAAAAAAATAAAGTAACAACTGACTGGTACCAACCGATGGTGAGTTAATAGTGACAAAAAAAATTGGGTGAACTATTAGATAAAATACGGTTTTACTGGAAAATAAGCGATTTCTATGATTCCCACAATCCAAAAGTAGCATACCGATTTTGAAAGGATTATGAGGGTAAAAAAGTACAACATTTTTTAGCAAATAGCAAAAAAAAATTAATAGACATACATCATTTTGGTCCACATGGTCTCCTTCTGGGATGTTGTCCATCTGGTTCTTCTGTTTGTCCCATCGCTTATGGTCACTTACATGGCTACATTTGAGAATGATGAATGCATTCATGTTAAAACTCTGTCAGGTTTGTTGATACACATGTTCATGCTATTCCCATTATCCAAAATTAAAGTGATATGCTATTCATAAATAACACATTTAACAATGTTTACGTTTGTGTGTGGGAGGATATAGGAAGTGAGCATAATCCTTCGTGGCATAGTTTAAACAAGGTACTGGAAATATTCCTCAGAAATTTTAGGTCTATATTGACATGAGAGCATCATGCAAATTGCTGCAAATTTGTCGGCTGCATATCCATGATGTGAAACCACATCCCAAAGGTGCTCTATTGGCTTGAAATCTGGTGACTGTGGAGGCCATTTGAGTACAGTGAACTCATTGTCATGTTCATGAAACCAGTCTGAGATGAGCACGCTTTATGACATGGCGCGCTACGTCATTGGCGTGCTGCATGCACGCGTTCTCGGTAGCTTGTGGTCAGCTCACTTATGATTTCGCGGCCGCAAATACATCATAACATGAAGACAGAAATGAGATTTCTGGGTGAATTATACCTTATAAATACAGTATGTGACTTTTTTAACGCCATTTGAAGGTGTTCATGTTCCTGTGGAGACTTGTGCAACTGCCTTTAAGCTTCTCTTCTGACCTTGAAAATATAATTGTCTGAATCGTAGAAAAGCTAAATTAAGATCCTGTGTAGGGTCGAATCGAGATCGTGTTGTTTTTTTTTTTTTTTTTTTTTTATTAATCGTGCAGCCCTAGTTGTGCGTGAAAATCCCAAAAGAGCAGCAGTTTCTGAAATACTCAGACCTTCTGGCACCAACCACCATGCCACGTTCAAAATCCCTTAAATCACTTTTCTTTCTCATTCTGATGCTCGGTTTGAACTGCAACAGATCCTCTTGACCATGTCTACATGTCTAAATGCAGTGAGCTGCTGCCATGTAATTGGCTGATAAGACATTTGTGTTAGCAAACAGTTGGACAGGTGTACCTAATAAAGTGGCCAGTGAGTGTGTATAATAAACAACAATGTGATGTACATGATGTACATTGAGAGTCAGTTTCAGCATCTTTAGTCTTTAGTCACATAATCCTTCAGAAATCATACTACAATGTTGAATTACTGCTCAAGAAAACAACTGGCATATCATCATCAATGCTGAAAGCTTAAAAACATACTATCACAATTCAGAGATTGTCATTCTAACAAGATAAATGAATCTATATAACATTTTACTCACTCACTTTCCTCTTTTACAAAAGTAATGACAACACTGTCTACGCATACTAAGAGGTGTTAAGTAGCCTAGTATAAATATATTCATGACCAAGAATAAGATGTGTCAATACAGTAAAAAACAACAGTAGCTGTAGCATCAAAACAACAATGCAACCAAAAAACTATTTGTACTACACACAAATCTGGTTTGAATTTACATAATTAGAAAAAAAAACTTTAACTGACAGCATATCTTGCATACGCTCAGCTGTTTTACTCACTTGGCAGTGGAGCCTGTGTTTTCCTCATTCTCTGAGGATGTGGACGAGGTGGTGCAGAAGGCTGGGTCTGTGTGGTTAGAGGTGCCACTGTGATTGGGGTTGATGGGGGACAGTCTTTCGTAGAGCGGAGTGTGCTGCTTTCTGTCATTAGGAATGTTGCTGTAGCTGTTCTGTTCTAAGAGCCCTTTACTAGACTGCTCCGCCTCATGGACAGACCCTGCCAGTGGAGGGCCGGATAAGCCATGCTGGACCTTGGAGAATGAAATGAAAACATGCACTGGTCAGTCTGATGTGTGGGAAAGTCTTTCAGGACGGGCCATAATAGAGAAATGGTGCTCACCCCAGGTTTGCCTGGAATGTTAAGCATCTGCGTTGCTGCTGGCATTCCCATTTGATTTGGTCTGACTGTGGGCAAACAAATTTAAAAAAAGAAAGAGAGAAAGTCTGATTTAATGATTTGGAGAGAATAAAAAATGTGGACGGAAAAACAGCCAGAGAAGACACTACATTGTTTTGTATGATTAAATAAAGGAATGAGGCCTAACTGGGATTCTTGTTGAACCGCATGTCCACCCACTGTGGAAACTGACCTTGATGCATTGAGAATGTGTGTGTGGGCACAGAGATAGAGTAGAGATGTGTATGTAACATAGCTTTTTGTGGTCATTCTACACAAGACTGTTTCTACCACAGAATGATTGAAAAAAGGTAAAAAGGAACACTACACTTTCAGGAAATGGGCTCATTTTTCAGTAAGGCAAGTTTATTTATATAGCACATTTCATGCACAGTGGTAATTTAAGGTGCTTTACATAAACAAGAATAAAAAAAACAAGTATAAGAAATAGATTCAATTAGAAAAATAAAATTATTAAAAACATTCAAATGTGTTAAAACAGGTTTTAAAGGAATGTAAAAGTAAAAGAAACAATAGTGCGATCTGTCGGACGTAGCGCAGTGCTCATTCAGTAAAAGGCACTGATAAAAAGATGTGTTTTCAGTCTCGATTTGAATGTGCCTAATGATGGAGCACATCTGATCATTTCTGGAAGTTGATTCCAGCAGCAGGGGCGTAATAGCTGAAGGCGGATTCACCTTGATTTGACTGAACTCTTAGAATTTCAAATTTACTTGATCCTTACTGATCTGTTTGTAATCAGTGAGCAAATCTGTACTGTATTGAAACCTTAGGCTATTTAGTGATTTATAGACAAGGCAAGTTTATTTATATAGCACATTTCATACACATTGGCATTTCAAAGTGCTTTAAATAAACAAGAATAAAAAAATACAAGTATAAGAAAATAAAAACAAATAATAAAATCATTTAAAAATAGATTAAAATGTGTTAAAATGGGTTCTAAAAAAAAAAAAAAAAAAAAAAGACATAATAGTGCAATCAGTCAGACGTAGCACAGTGCTCATTCAGTAAAGGCTTAGCTTGTTTTCAGTCTTGATTTGAACGTGCCTAATGTTGGAGCACATGTGATCATTTCTGGAAGCTGATTCCAGCAGCGAGGGGTGTAGTAGCTGAAAGCTGATTCACCCTGCTTTGACTGAATCCTTGGAATTTCTAGTTTATATGATCCTAAAGATCTGAGAGATCTATAAATGTAGGTTTGTATTTAGTGAGCATATCTGTAAAGTATTGAGGTCCTAGGCCATTTCAAGACTTATAGACATGTAGTAGTACTATAAAATTTATTCTGAATGTAACTGGGAGGGAGCCAGTGTAAAGACCTGAGCTAAACAGTTGAGTTTTATCATCTTTAAATCCATTCAGCCAGTCTGCCAGGAGCTTTTTTAGCTTAGCTTAGCACAATTCATTGAATTAGATTATTAGACCATTAGCATTTGTCATTGATCATTTAAAGCTGGACTCTTCTGTATTTACATCTTGTACTAAGAGCGATGAAAAATGTTGCTATTTTCTCGGTCAATATTGCTAGGAACTATTCCAACAAAAAAATCAAGGAACTTTGCTGCCATACCATGGCTGCAGCAGGTGCAATGATAGTATGCAGCAATGTTACAAAATACGAGTATAGTTATAGCAGGGCTCGAAATTGCGACCATTTTGGTCGCATATGCGCCTGAAATTTTACCTATGTGACTTCAAAATAAATTTGAGAGCATTTGTGCAAGTGCAAAAATTGTTGTGTGCAACCAGTTTTTACTGCAAAAGGTTCACCACATGCGCGGATTTGGAAGACATTCACGCAGAATGCATCTCTGCAATTGAAACACTAAACAGCGGCGTTCAGGAATGGTTTAAAACAGTTGTCATGTCAACTGGCTGCAGTAAACAAAGCCAATTCCGTAATGCTTGCCCCACCTTCATGCTCTTCTTATTTGCACACTGCTCTAGCACTGAAATATTAGCTGTCAATCACTCAGTCAATGCCTTCTGGCTTGGGATGACAGAGAACTACTATCGCGAAAAACTGTAAAGCGCTGAAGATGAGAATGAATATTACATAGACAGATTTTCTTTTAGAAACAATGGCATCTAAAGTTACAAATAATGACACATCTTACTAGTGATCATGTGCTGAATGTTCATCTGAATGTTATATCGTTAACAGATTCCTTCATGTGAAGCAGTGCGTGCAGGGCTGGTGAGCGCTCCGTGTAACTATTCGTCACTCAGTTATCTTAATAAAAATCTATTTTCTTGTGATAACAGGATTTCGTTGAGACATATTTTCCTCATGCTTGCATGTATATTTTTTTGCTTGTTAGTTTGATCAGTGTTCATTTTAAATGCAATAAATTAAATATGTTTGGTGCTTATAAGTGCGACAACATTTTGGCTGATGCGCCTTAATTTTTTAAGTTAGGAGCACCGGTGCTACCAAGCAAAAAGGTTAATTTCGAGCCCTGTTATAGGGTGTAGATTTAATGATTTATGCTAAGCTAAAAGTGTTCCAGTTGGACCCGGAGATCAGCTGAATGGACTCAATTTTTATTTATTTTTTTTAACTGTTCACTCTAGGGGACTTGTTAAATGAGCTTTTTTTAAGAGCAGTGTTCATTTAAAAGAGGAATTGTGACTATACACAACAGTTCTGAAAATTTTTCAGACAACTGTAAGCTTGACCTTTTTTCCCCTCATAATTTTTTTTAAACAAACTCAGAATTATTATTCCCCAAGAAAACCCCCCTAATTTGTTAAACTACTGTCACTAATTGGAAGATGTCATATCCAGTATTCTTCTCTGAGCTTCTAATTATTTAGTTGACACCATCTTAATGAACCTGTTAAAAGTTTTCAGGCGAGTGCAGGGGAGTTTTTCCAGACTATAGCAGTTCTCTTTCTAAAGAAGCCTATTTGTATGCACATAGCAAAGCGGCCATTCCAAGTGCACACAGGGTCCAAGGCAAGTGGGGAAATTTCTCACATTACTGTGAGGACTGAGACAGAGAGAGAGAGAGGCAAAGCATGTCTCTAAAAGTTGGCCTCAAACACAGACAGAAGAACACACGCAGACATGAGCTGCTCCAAGAATTTAACAAGCACAAACTAACAGGAACAGACGCTGTCCCGCGAGAGGAGGAAAATCAAACATATTGACAATCTCACCTAAATAGGGGGGGAAGTGAGGAGGCTTGCTGGCGGTGCTGTAATAATCCACTGCTTTCTTTAAACGGAAAACTTTGTCATCGGTTCTGGACTGGAAAGAAAAGATGCAGAATTAGAACGTAAATCTTGGTTCTTTAAGGCATCGCTCATCCATGTTGTTATAACCTGTACAAAGTCATTTATTCTGTGGTATACTAAAACAATCTGTCCAAATTGTGGTTTCAGACCTCAGTAAAACTCACAAAAATAATGGATACAAAATAGTTGAAACATTTCACAGATTTCTTTTATTTTCCATACAGGAAAATATCATGACAATAAGAGCAAAATAATACCATTGAAAGCTTTATGATAACTGCAAATGCAATATAGGTTTGCTGTGCTTGATCTTAGAACTGCACAATTTGGCCCCAGAATTATTAGTACTGTTAATATGAACCCAACTATAAAATTTGAATTTGTTAATAGTTATCGGAAGGCCCACATGGAAATCTGCAGATTTTTATCCCATCGAGTTTATGTATTTACTTGTGTAAATTTAAATTTATTAAGTTTTTAAATTTATTTCACTATTATTATTGTGATTTAATAATAGTAATATTAAAATGTGCATATGATTTATTTACAATACAGTAAAGTAATATTTTCTGTCTTTAAGTAGATCTTTTAAATTAGAGACTTGCTTTGTTTAACAAATAAGTGGATCTAATTGGAGTTGCATTGTAAACATTAAATAAAAGTCAAAATTTTTAATTTATATATTAAGTTTTTAGTAATGATACTTCTTAAGTCACTCCACATAAATCTGCACATTTTTTACAAAATTCTCCACAGAAATAATAAAACATGTCCGCAGATTCTGTCTGGCCTCAGTTATCGGTCACGTGATGTGTGGAAACCTGGTGGGCAAAACAATGGACTGCAAGGGCAGCTTACACTGGGATCTCCATAGAAAGAAAGCACAAGCTGATTACACTTTCTTCTGTTTCAAGCCAAGAATCCCATAAAAAAAAAAAAACCCAAAACGGATATGAACACAAAATGTAAATTTAAGGCACTTGTGATACATATACAGCACCCGTCACTTTATTTCCTTTATCAAAAACTATAAGGTACATTCCAGAGCTCAAATTCAGTGTGGTTTACAAGCTGCAAACCCGCCACCCACTAGCCACTTTGACCAGTTCAAAATAATTTCTAAATTGTAGTTTTCTTAAAAGCAAAGTTCGGCAATAACAATGCCCATCGAGAAGCAGCACGACTGACAAAAACAACTGTGTTCACAAGAGCAAAAGAAAACAGCTAAATACCAAATAAGAGAATGATCTTTCGCATGGAGAGACTTTCGTGCACAGCTGATGTGATGATCGCGAGTGTTTAAATGTCTGCGCGCTCCTGTTTTCTAGGCAAAGCAACCATGTCTGGAAACGCAACCGATGCAATTGGTTACCTTTGAAATAAACTGGACAAAAAGCTATGCTTGTGATGCTTGCTTTCACGAGTTTAAGATTCTTTAAAAAAATGTGTTTGTGTATTTAATTAGTTTTAAAATGTCAAGTTTTTTTTTTTAAAGAACAGTTTTGCTGAATAAAAAGTGTATATGTAGACAACAACAAAATTGTGGCTAGAGAAAATGGCAAGTCACTAGTAATGTTTAAAAACTACAAGCCACAGTGGCTAGCGATCAAAAAAGTTAATGTCAAGCCCTGTTTACAAGTATCTTGTGGAGAATGAGTGATACAGAATATGCTTTTATACTTGGTGTTTTTTATTTTGCTTAGATTAATATTGGCTGATAGGGAAAAGGTATTCATTCACTTCTATTTACACTTTGACTTCACATTTTAATTTGTACTTCAACCACAATTTAAAAGAAACTCTATTTTAAAAAAAAACCATACAATATTAACCATAGATGTGGGTACCTCAGATCAGGATGGTTAAATAATGCTTCTGTTTGTCAAAAATCCATAAATTTCTTCTTTCTAGCTTTTTTTTTTTTTTTGAAGTAATTATGTTGATGCATGTCTCTGGTCAGTTAGTATATCATATTACACAACAACTACCGGTATTTGCCAAAAAAAAAAAAGAACGCACTCAGCTTGTGACTTGGCAGCCAGTGTGAGGTAGCTTTGTTTTTCCTGCATGGATAATGTAAAAAATCTATGGTATTGTACTAAAAATAATAAATATATTTTGGATTTATTGTAATGTAATATTACAACAAGAAACTTGTACTTATGACACCCTTAAAGCCACATTTTAGTTGATAAGTTTGGATATGACTCGAAAAGAAACAACTTGAGACACTGAAAAGTCCTGAGCTCATGTGTAAATCAATGCAGAGTCACACTTCACTTTGAAGCAACCATTACGTTTCAAATCATGATTCCAAATAAATGTGCAGACCTACATGAAAATAGAACACGATGGCTTAATTTCTCCAGTGGTGCATCAGCTTACCTGCGAATGCTTGAATATGTCTTTAGCAATAGCTTCCAGATCGTGGACATCTTGCAGGTTTCGGACATAATCTGCCACAGCTCTAATGACGACGTCACATGGAGGAAGAACGAGCTGATGGGCACGAACCTGTGCCAGAGAAGACAACCCATCACACCCCCAGCAAAAGCTCCTTCTGCTTCAAATGTGATGGGCATCATAGGAGTACATATCTGATGCATTTATAAACATGACTGACAATGGACAACTAAAAATAGAAGCCCAGAGTTCTACTTTAAAAACAAAGAACTTATAATCGGAGTTCTAAAATAGAAAATGGAAAGAATTCTGACAAAAATCTAATACTAAAGTATATACTAAGAACCAGAACACTAAAAGAACCAGAATTTCAATACACAAACTCAGATTTCTAAAACCAAGAATTCTAAATTATGAACTCATTGTTATCAACAGAATTTTTATATATAAACTCAGAATTTTAAAATACATATTCAAAATTGTGAAATCTAAACTCAGAATAGCAAAATATAAGCTCAGAATTCCAAAAGATAAGTTCAGGATATCAAAAGCTAAACTTACTATTCAAAAACTCAGGATTCCAAAAGGTAAACTCAGGATTCCAAAAGGTAAACACAGGATTTTAAAAGATAAACTCAGAATCCCAAAAGATAAACTGAGAATCACAAAATTTAAACTCAACATATTAAAATATAAACTCAAAATTCCAAAAGATGATCTCAGAATTCCAATATATTTAAACTCAGGATTCCAAAACTCAAAATTCCAAAAGATAAACTCCTAATTCCAAAAAATAAACTCAGGATTCCAAAATATAAGCTCAGAATTTCAAAACTCAGAATTTCAAAAGATAAACTCAGGATTTCAAATCATAAGCTTAGAATTCCAAAATATGAACTCAGAATTCCAAAAGATAAACTCACAATTTCAAAATATGAACTCAGATCAGAAATATAAAAAAAAAAGCTTAGAATTCCAAAATATAAACTAAGAATTCCAAAAAGTTAATTCTGAATTCCAAAACTAAGAATTATTTTATCTCAAAATCATCAATTATAAACAAAATTCTAAAATTGAAACTCACTGCTCACACACACACACACACAAATATCATAGTATATGACTGATTGAGGACATCGTGATACAATTGACAAGCATAATCGACACGTGATTTTTAAGTGCTTTAAAAAAGCACATTTTAACAACATAACTGCTAACTACAGATACACAAACAGAGATGCAAGTTGAAAATGAGTGTAAAAGTGACGAGGCACACACAGATCTACAAGTCAGTGGTTAAATTGAGTAAAACCCACTCAAGCCCATGCTGAATCAATAAAGCCATCTGTCGAACAACAACACTGAGACAAGACAACAGAAGTTCTCCTCTTTCATCTACAGTCACAATGCTTGATTTATCTGGCTGAGACTCAAATAGTTTATTTAAACTAAAGGCTACATGTTGAGAACGAAGCTGAAGTCATTTTACAGAGCCTGATAAGTTCAATGAAGAAAACCTTGAAGAATTAAATCACACAAGAATGTATTGTGTTATGCGTCGTATTTGTGATATTCTACAATGTAGCCAGATTGAATGTATTTTAACTAAAATGTTAATATAGGTAGCTGAAAGATAGACAAAGACAGAGAGAGTAACTAAATTTAAATAATAATCAACGATACCTTCAAGGATGCTAAAGGATGCTCAGGACCAAGTAAACTCCAGTGAAAGGCAGCCAAGTCTTCATCAGGCAGTATGTGATTACCTTCAAAAACAGCATTCAGTTATACAGGGTTCCTGGTCTAAACCAAATATCAAGCCTCTATGAGAAGAACAACGCATAATTTACCTCAGATTTTGAAAAGAATCTGAGGTACTTAGTGTTTTAGCGGCTTGAAATGCTTCCTCACACGTTTGATAGCTCAATTGTAGTTTTACAAATGTTACATTTAGTCATTTCTGTCGTAAACTTAACAAAGCAACGGTGGCCGAGAGAACTTAACATGCTTCACTTTAAGGAAGTACAGGCAATTACAAAAAACAACAGCAAATAGAAATAAATAAGACAGGATCTTAATCGGTTTGATAGCATACAGTACATGTTGCAAATGCTCACAACGCAAACAAAAAAAGAATATGCACTGCATTCACACAGCACATGCAAATAGCACAGCAGTAATGTTTCAGTGGCACCCAAAAATGTGACAGACCCGGCTGGCATATGTTTATTGTGCAGTGACTATTGCTCAGTGAAGTTGTAAGTGCTCTTTGAAACAGGAGTTTTTGTTTATTTTAACATTCTGATTGCACAATTCCCTTGTCTTTCGTATATCACTAGCCTTAATAACCACAATGTAAATAGCCGGGTCCGATACGTTATTGGGTTCCCTTGAAACATTTCTGTTGTGTTCCATGCTATTTGCATGTGTTGTCAGAAAATGCAGCACAAATTCTTAATTTGTTAGCATTGTGAGAAAATCCAGCACATCAAAATGTATATTATACTGACATGTTGATAACACAAGTCTAGTAACTGCACTTGACAAAAAAAGTCTAATTATAATCATTTTGCTATTAAAATGTGGTATAGAAAAAACTATCTTGAGAAATGTAAACAAAATTGAAAAAGACAAACAAAAATCCCAGATTTTCAATGATTTTGCTAAAAATAAAATTGCTGACTTTCAATTATTATACGTTCACATGAGCAGAATATCGCAGCAGAACTATTTTGTACTTTGAATTCCAGAGCGCACAAGCTAGCTGACAAAAAAATGCAGTTTTGACAAATATTTGATGAGCGAAAATCCAGTGCATCCCTATAAAATAATTTCCAGTAGATATTTAAAATGAAATACAAAAGAATAACTTGATTTCATCCATGAGAATAGCTTAAACTGATGAAAACATTTGATGAACTAAACGCACAGACAAATCATCCGCTTGTCAAGTGTGACGTCACACGAATCGGCTTCCGGGTCCAAGCGCTATATCAAACTGTATGGGGAGACTCATCAAATGGTGATAATAAACAATTACAAAGCGATGTAATACTTTGGAAAATAACGATCCCAAAATATATATACACCTATGCATAATATCCAGAAAGAGATTCATTTTTATAAATTGTTAAAATTTTGGTTTTTGTGATGCAGCAAGTCCAGAACTGATGTGTAGACTATGATTTTATACAAAATTTACTATAATGTGTAAATAAAAAGGGTCATAAACGAATATTTTCTCAATTCAAATGAGTAGCCGCTTGAACCTGGAAACAGTATTCCATATGTCATGACTTAACAAGTGGATTGACAATAAGAATAAGCTAAGAGTCTCAATGTAGATCCGAAACACACCTACCTAAAAGTGAAGCAAAAATGACGAAACGATTTGGATTGAGATTAAGCTGCTTGGCAACTTCGTGCATCAGGTATTGGCTGGTGGTGAGGCTTTTGCCGTTGCGGCTGAGTTTGAGGGCATGGGCACTGAAGTAATATGGGATGTTGCACAGGGCGTAATCCGAATCATAGGCAACCAGACCATGGAAGCCGTTCTCTCGAAATAAGGCAATCACTTCCTGGTGATGATCCTCGATGGTCTGGACAACCTGAATGAAAAAGCACATTACAGGAGGGCTAATTAGCAGAACAAAAACTCATTCGCATTGACGGGACTGCTGCAGGGTTTCACAGATTCCCATTACAGGGTGTGTGGCACATTTCTTCTAGGAAATGCTACTTCTTATTATGCTGGATAATGGCTTCCTTGTCAAATGCTTCAATCGATTAAACAGCATTATTTAAAAGAATCAATGAGGAGATGATTCTTGGCTGTGATGTGAATTTTAAAACTAGAACTTTTGAAACAGGGTTTTAGCTGGACAACAAGTCTCTAAGGGCTGTGCAATATATCGTTTCAGCATCGATATTGCAATGTGATCATTCGCAAAAGAGTGGAGGAACTATGACGTCACCTTGTAGGCTAATCAGCTGCTAGCATATAACTGGTTCCCTCAATATAGGATTTTCAAAGACTGTAAAATCATAACCTCAAACACAGTTCATCACACACTATAAATTCCCAATTAAAAAAATACTGCAAACTATAAAATAATATTTATTTTATGAAAATACTTAAATCACAGACAAATTCAAATGCCCAATGCAAGCGGGCTACGTTCCAGACCAGTTTAGCACAATGGCGTATAATGTCTCCGACACCGCCTATAGTCCCATTTAGCAACTTGACAGCAACCGTTTTTTTACAGAAGTGTGAGAGAGTGTGATGTGACTGATGTGTTTTATGTCATAGAATAAAACATGAAAATATCCTGAGTTTGTGTTAGCCACGAACCTTATTTACGCGATTTAACCGAAATCCCATTCAAAATACCCATTGACTTTGGGACTCTGGAACTGCTAAAATGCTAACTCGCTTCTGGGTCTTTGCATACAAATTGACGTCATAGTTTCTCCACTCTATAGTCACATCGCGAGCATATGCAATGTGGAGTCTGGATTATAATTGCTCATTTCGCAAATGTTTTTGAGGCCTGTGACTGTGAGTGCTTTAAACGTATTCAGGCTGCATGTGAAAATACCACATTTATTTACATGGTTTTACTCCCAACTCAAATCATAATTTCAGTCTAGTGTTTGAAATAAATCCTTCTGTGAAATTATTCCATATTGGTGTTATTATTAGTCATGCTGAGTCAATGAAAGCAGTTAAATCTTCCTACAATGCAATGATATGGGGATTTCCTGGATGTTATCTTCAATATAACTTTGATTAATAGGATTAAATAGCTGTGATCTGAATTTTAAAACCATATAGTGCTCAAATACTGGAAAAACAAGCCTTTCACTCACGAAAACAGGCTGGGTGACAAAACTTAATTTCACAATATACAGTAAGCCACTTTTATCCTGATAACTATACATAGCAAGATATTGTTCCTTTTCAGTAAATTCTAATAATTAATAGTTATGTATCGAACATTTAAATATATTTATTTAGAAATGGGTATTCTTATTTTACTTGTCATTTCAGTATGTTTTTACATTAAGTAAATACTCGAAGTTAAAACTTTAATAATTCATTTCTCACTTTGTTGAGAACTTCAGATTAAATATTTGATTAAGGAATATAGATTATTAAAATCAATAAAATATAAAACCCCTTATTTCTTCCTACATCTGTGGTGGCATTCAAGATTGTGATCATCGACTAAAAAAAATGATGAAAAAGTATTACCATCAACTATATATATCTATATGTTTGTCATCATATCACACATCTTTACATGAACAAATATTTTAGAAATCCCTCATGTTACACATTGTTAACAGCTTTTATACGAGTTTAGGGAATATTTCAGTTTGGCATGGGATAAGGGATGCAACGATTAACCGGTTTCACTATTAACCACGCTTTAATTTGTCACGGTTACCTAATCGTAAAGGCTTCTCAACATCGTTTTTCTGCACGGAACAAAACTGCAGCAACTAAACTGTGCGCTAGTTTGTCACTGAGACTAATAACCACGCACACTAGATTAACTATGACTGAGGCTATTAACTAAGGCAAGCTCAGGCAAGTTCATTATTTCCACTGGAGGTACACCCACATGACGCAGCGCGCTCCCGCTTTTCAGGCGAACCTCGTTGGGATGACAGGGCTTTTGTGGCTGAAGTCTGAGGAAGAAGCAGTACATGAAAAGTACACAGGTTTGCAAACCCACTTAGAGTTTTTATTAATGGCGCCAATAAGAGCGATCATGTAGTGAATGTTAATCCACCAGCCGAGATCAACCGAGTGATTTTGGAGAGAGCGCTGAAAGACTCAGAGTGGATCAGCTCTTAAAAAGCAAATGTCCGCTAAATGTAAAACCTAACACTGTACACATCATCGCCAAAGAAGCTCGCCTTTACTAAGTTTAAACTGAAACTGCGGCTCATGACGACAGTATTGCGCTGATGGTCATCTAGAGAATCCTGCTCTGCCCCGTATATATGGGCCGACTAACTCACTGGCTTTTTTCCACAAACAGAGAGATCAGCGCATAACGAGACTGAGCATTTACAATGACCAAAACTTTTAAAGAGGTGCAGAAGTAAGACTTTTCTTCCTTTCTTTTGTCCATTCTTTCTGTTTATCAAATTGATCAGCATATAAAACAATAGCGCAAAATAAACAGTTCTTACTGCAATGCTTAATTTTTTTTTTTTTTGATGCAAACCACAGCTTTATTTTTTATAAAGTAACAGTAGGACTTTTTATAGCGGATAACTCACAAATTCAGGGCAGAATGATAATGAAAAATGTTATTCATTTTTAGTATTATTGTCATCTTCTTTATCAATAATATTTTATAATTATTAGACATTCATTTTGGAATTATTGCACAAATATCAATAAGTCATCACAGCATTAGTTAGATAGTTGTTTCTGGTATTTGTTAGTTCTAATTAATGTTGTTTTTAAATACAATAAATCCGTTAATATACAAGTTGCAGTGGTGCTTATTCATTTTTGAAGTTGGGAGCACCGGCAATTTCAAGCCCTGCATTAGACAAATACTGTTTGTTTGTTTTTTTATTCTTTTTTTTATTTTTATTTATTGTTCTATCATTAATTTACAATGTAAAATTCACCTATTTTTAAGCACAAAGAGAGAAATTTACTATTGTTTGTTTTTTATATTATTTTGTGCTGCATTAATTAGTTACTGAGCAGCAATAAATAACACTGTAAAACAAAAGGAGTTTTCATCTTATTTTCTAAACTAGTGGGGTTTGAAATTAATGAATGCATAATAACCATTAAACTATGAATATTTCTCAGACTATAATCGTACAACCAAAACTTATAATCATTGCATCCCTAAATGCAACATGTAAACCAGCAGTTAGGGTAGTTGTGATTTAGAGAAGAATACACTTTTCACTGACAGTCTAATTTGATTTCCTCGACTGGTTTTAATTGAGTTTTTGAAACTTTTCAGCTTGAGACAACCTTAAACCAGCTAAAACTAGCTGCTGATCTTAGTTTAGCATAACCAATGTAAACTAGAATAGGTCTTGATTAGTGTGTTAATTTGTTAATTTGTAAAGTTTGATTGACAGAATCTCTCATGTTATACATATATGAATAACTTTAAGCATTCATTTCAGTTTCTGAACTGATCAAATGTTACTGGAGATAAGTGAATAAAAATGCACTGAAATGCTTATACTAACAGTCCCCTCAAACATAAACTAATGTAACTAAATCGTTTATGAGCAAGACGCTCATAATTCATGTCTCTCTCTCTCCGCACATAAACTCAGTCACAGTCTGTACAGCTGCTAAATCTCAGCAGAAGTGACGCAAAGAAGCATTCAGCCAATTACAGAGCAGTGTTTACTACTCCTCAGTCACAAGAACATGACGCAGCAGCCAATCAAAGTGAAGACGAGGTGGTGCTTTCTTTTTTCCAGCACAACCTACTACTACATGATTTCAGTTCTGCATTCATACATAAATACATGTTTTTCTTCCTATTCTGAGAGGTTTGTACGGCATTGCATTATCAGTATTGGACAGAAAGGTTGTTAATGAGAGTTAAATAGTTATTAATTAAACAACAACTCAATAATTACTTAATGATTTAATCTTAGTGTTATTGTTTGTCATGCATTTAATTCCTTTTCATTGCTTTGCTTTAATTCACTGCTCTAATTCTCAAGCCGCTTATTTAAGTCACTCGTTTATAAAGGCAGCACTTGTATGTATGGCCTCTGTATGTTAAATTGCTTAACCCCTCCTCATTTGCAAGTCACTTTGGACAAAATGCTAAATGACTTAATGTAAATAAATATATTTTAAATGTCCAAATGTAATAACTTAGATGTAAATCAAAACCATGCAAACTGATTATAGTGATAAGATTTGCGTGCTCTTTCAGCTGCATTAAAAGGTTAAGAAAACATCTAATATACCAACACGATGACGGACACAACCTGGAAAAGAGTCTTTCAATGAACACTAGGGATGTAACGGTATTGCAAATACCGTCATACCGCAATATTAATTTTTTTCGATATTACCGAAGTCGCATGACTCGGTAAAACTATAGGTCTTCAGAGAAAATTTGCTCAGGCGAATGAAGCGAACGGGAGGTAGCTGAAACTTCATTTCCCATCAGCCCCGGCGTGGCCATAATCCTTTGCGGTCTGTTGTCGCTACAGATCCAGTAATGCGGAAATGGAGTGTGCTGCTAGTAGCGGAGATGAAAAAAAAGATGGAAATAATCGAACCTAAAGCGGGTGTTGTCGCCGCGCGCTTGCTGAATAGCGGTGCTGTCGCGCGCGTTCTGATCAGCTGTGTTGTGGCGCGCGTATTGTAAAGCGCCGAGGGGGGGTTGAGCGCGCATACTTAAGAGAGGTGTTATCGCGCGCCTACTGAAGGGCTGGACTGGACGGAGGTTGTGTCGCGTCGCGGGGGCACTTTTGATCGTTTTGGAAGGGCATTTTCTATCCAAGACTAAAAAGGGCATGTGCACTGCACAGGTTGAGCCCTATGTGTGCACGTGCCTGCAAGTTGGGGAATACGACTAATAACAGTCATGGGGACTGCAGAAACACAGCACACTGTTCAGATTGATGCAGACATTGACTTGTACCGCAAAGAGATCTCTATCTCACTCATGGTTTGTCCTCTCAAGTGGGGGAAAGACAATGCACAACGTTACCCCACTGCTGTCAACATGGGCCAAGTCATATCTCTCTTGTCCCAGAATCCTCAGTCCCAAATGAGAGGGTTTTTTTCTGTTGCAGGGGACATTGTAAATACCCAGAGATCCCAGCTTTTACCAGATTATATTTATATGATAATTTTCCTTTAAACCCATCTCTATCTAAGTGAGTGATTAAATGTTAAATGTGATGAGTTTTTAACAATACTAAATTGAAACTTTATTTTTTTACATTGTTTAATAATTTTTTGTTATTAAAATTGAAGTTCCTGTTTCAAAGCTTACAGATAGATGGCTAATTTGTATGTCATTGACACTTTTGGCACTTTTTTGGAGTATTTTCAAAAAAATTTTTTTTTTCCTGTAAATGATTCAATAAATACCGTACAGTGACATTCATACCGAGGTATTACCGTACCGTGAAATTCTGATACCGTTACATCCCTAATGAACACCCACTGAAAGTATGTTTCAACAAGTTGGATCCCTGCTGAAAAACACCTTAAACCACGCAAAGCTCATGCGTTGATCCATATGTTGGTTTTACAGAGCTTTTGGGTAGCTGTCAGTCAGCCAATCCTTTAAACCAGCTGCTGATTTAAGCTGGTGCATATGAATCGGTGCAATATGCAAAAGCAAATCATGGTGGTTTTTTATTCATATCTGACAGTCAAATTTGACTACCTTGGTCTATACTACTCTTAGACCTTTTTACCATAGCTAAGCTGTGAGACCATTTAAAACCAGCTGGTGATTTGGCTTTTAAGATGTGTATATATATATGAGAACCAACATTTAAGTCAGTTTAGAGATTTGTGTCTTAAGAATAGAGTTTCACTGACAGGCTAGTTTGTTTAGCTTGCTTTGGTTTACCACCTGGTTTCATGTGAGTATAATTTTAACATGTTCGGTATATGTAAATCAATGAAAGCACAGAGGGCACGATTCCATCTATAGCCTAGTTTGTTCACCAAGCATTACTTACTGCTGTTATAAGAGTATGGGGAACATTTTAGTTTGGCAGCTGCTGATCTACATTTTAAATTTAGCATATAACATCAAATGCAACATGTAAACCAGCAGTTAGGGTCGGTTGTGATTTATATTTTAAGAATACGTTTTCACTGACAGTCTAATTTGATTTCCTCGACCAGACAATCTTAAACCACATAAAACTAGCTGCTGAACTTAGTTTTAGCATAACCAATGTAAACTAGGATAGGTCTTGATCAGTGTGTTAAGAGCACAGTTTCATTGACAGTCTAGTATTACCCTGGCAACTTGTATTAATTGTGTTTTGGTAAGTTTACAGCTTGGCCATAGGCTCTGAGACCACCCTAAATCAGTTAATAACAGTTATTGACCTTGGTCTTAACACGTTTGTGCATATAAATCAATGCACCAAGAAACCACAGATGGTTTAAAATTCACAGATTAAGTACACCAGTTCACTTAAAGCACAGTTTGTTCAACTAGGATGGGGTTCTGGTTTTATTGGGGATTGGGGAACTTTTCGGTGTGGTCAAGCTATAAGAGCAGCAAAGCACATATCACAACCTGTCAACACAACCGTAAATCAGTCTAACTTTAGGCCACTTGCTAGCTCCCAGCCTAGCGTGTAAGACTAGCACTTGACAATTTGATCTTGTTTTGCTAAGCTAATGGCTGTACATGTCAAAAACACAGCGCGCATCTGCTGCTAACGTTACTCACCCCGATGTGGAACCTGAGGAGCGCCAGGCGGATGCAGTGGGCCATGCACACCGGGGGCAGAAACCAGACCTTGGGCGGCGGTGTTCCCTTGTTCTGGACGTGACTGACAATCTGCTGGGCGGTCTGCCTCTCGTTCACCTGTCGCTTGACCCACTCGTGGAGACGGCCTTTCTCCAGGGCGCCATTGAAGCACACTAGCAGCTCGATGTTGCCGTTGAAACAGGCTTTGGCAAGGGCGGCGAGGTACCCGAGCATATGGTTCCACTGGCCTCCGCTCACCCAGTCGGTGTAAAAGCCGCCGTAAAGCCGGTGAAGACAGTTCTCGGCGTCCACCAGCAGCCGGAGCGGCGTTTGAGGAGGTCTCTGCCGGCCGCCGCCGACCAGACTCCCCCGGGCGAGCTTCTGGAGCTCCACCGGCACCACGGCGTTGGGGCAATGCTTCTCAATGTATTCCTGGAAACCCTGCACACCCATGACTTTTGTTTTTTGTTTTGTTTTATTTCGGGATAAACGTAAAATTGTCTGGAGAAAATGGAGACAGAGTTGCAAGCGAGCAGCCTCCTCTCCCGAATGCTGAAAACCGGACTGGAGAATATTGCAGCGGATGTAGAAGTTGGTCGGTCCAAAATTAATCAAATCGGAGATGCATCTGTAGTTTTTGGTGAGTTGTTTTTTGGTTCATGGCTGCTGGCCGCCATGTGCACCTTTACGGAGCCATGTCTGCGGTCTGGATGTGTCTGGTGTGTAGGGGAAAGAGAGGTACGGAGAGAAGAGCGGCGGCGCAGGGCACGTACAGTCACAACGGAGGAGGAGTCTGGAGTTCGGTGGGCGCGGTTCACTTTGGAGAACTGTTGCATGTCATGCTTATGATCCATACTCCATGATACACTCTCACGATATTATAAAACCTCTCGTAATGGCTGGCCACTACCCGTCTAAAGGTCGGAAACATTAATATTTATTCATTTTTTAACCAGGCTGCGTTTTTTTAAAAATCAGAACTAATAATAAAAATCGGTTAAATGTTAAAATTATTATGTAAATCCAATATTAGATTTTTTTCCATTGTTTTTTTAATTGTACCACGTGACCCTTGTACATTTTTTACAGCAGGCCATTAGCCAGAGGGGGTTCAAAAGACCCACTCCGCTACTGACAAAGCTCATTTGTCCTATTTTGACTGATATGCCATCATAAATAATCAAAATAACCCATCGAAAAGGGCTTCAAGAGCAAGCGGAATCTGATGCAAGTAAAGTCAACTTTCATTGTATTGTTGTTAAATAGAGAAAACATTTTAAGTAACTGTTATTTTAAATCTTGGACCTAATTCTTGAAACAAAAAATGACCGAAAAAATGTTGTAAAGCACCAAAGGCAGCCCATATTAACGTTACTTAAAATACTTATTAGGCTATTGTTAATATCCATGATTTTTCAATACTTTTTTTCAAGTAAAACTATAAACTCGTAAAGCTCTACGTTATTATATTTATTTTTTATTGATCAAATGCCCAAATTCTACTTATGCTTCCTTAAAATTCTGACTGAGGAAAGTTAAATGTGCTGATCAGTTTGTTGATAACTGACAATAGGCTACAGTTAATTATTTAAAACTTCAAGAGATTCCTATTTCCCCCAGTGATATAATATGTAATTAATTTGTATTTTAAATATGAGCCGATTTTTAATAGATCTTTATTCTAAATCTTTAGAAAATGTTTTTGGTTCATCAAAAAGTGTGACCATCTGATAAACTAATCCAGCAAAAAAAACTGCTTAAAATGTTACTAAAAACACATCTAAAACCTCATAATTAAATAGAAAATGAGCCGAATAACTGCAAAAAGAACCACCTTTTTCACCAGGCTGCTTACAGGCTTGACAGTCTATGGTTTTAATGCGGAGATTTGATTCTCTAATATAACTATTATTGGTGCTTAATAATTATTATTGATTCTTATTATCATCATATTTGCAAATGATTGTTTTCTGCTTCATATTTTACATCAACTGATACATGATTTTAATGACATTTCTATATGAAAGAACAAATTATGTCTACAAAAATGATTTGTAACATTATAAATATTTTTACTCTCACTTTTGATAATTTTTATGTGTTCTTGATGAATAAAAAACATTTTTAAAAAGCAAAACATTTGCTATAAATTGAATAGTAATATATAATGTTCTCACAAAGATATTGAAGTGAAATATGTAACAGTTGATATACATAAATCAGAATTATGCTAAATGTAATCAGTATAGGCGTGAACTATTTTAGTTACTGGTATTCTAATAATGAGTGTAAAGAACTAAGATTATTTTGCTTTAATAATTGTCAATATCTCTTCTAGCGTAACAAGTAACTATTCATTAGATTTAGAATCATTTAAATTCCTTAATATTACATTTCTAACTATTAGCTATTTTTTATATCAGTATAATGTTTTGATATATATATTTTTCTAATACCTGTTAATTTTCCAAAACTCAATTATTACCTCATTCTTTTATTTTATTTTCAGCTTTGTCCCTTTATTACAGTTTTTCCTCAGTGGCTTTGGTGCATTTCTCACAACACTGTTTACATTTGCACAACCGGTAATGCATTTCTCAAAAAAATCAGTACAAACTGCAAAACCTAGATGATAATCTGCAAAACCGTGTCACTTGCTCAAAATTGATAGCTCATTCCTCAAAAGAGGTATTGATGTAAATGAAGGTTTCAGTGTCATCAAGATGAAAATTCCTGACACCATTGTTTATGAACAAGATAGTCAAATGGCTTTGTCATGTTTTCATTATAACAGTTACTCTGTACATTTATTAAAATGCAAATAAAAAAACAGATTTTGTTGACGTCCTGAAAATGCTCAAGACAGCGCTATATACTTTTGCACAGCCATTTGAAAACTACAGTAAAGTTAGACATCACTGCATTTAGTGAGGTATCTGAGTTCATACACTTAATATGTGTTTTTTACATCCTTACTGCATTTGCTCTTTGCAGTTGTAATTTATTCACAGCATTGTGCAAAAGAATAAATACACCCTCATTTACAACAAACATAAACTTTCTTTGGGTAGAGCTGTGCACAACTGTAAACAATATTGCTGTACATATCAGAACTAAACACACATGTCTGTAAATCATTCATCAAATTGTTCAATTTAGAAGACATTTTTTGGGAGAAAAATGATTGAAAAGATTTTATAAAACTTGCTTGACAGATTTTGACACCTAGTGTAACATTTTTGTATGTAATGACTCAAGTAATGAAATGAGGACTCAGTTTAATATGGAATGACTATTCAGCATTCACAAATTTAGTTAATTTTGACTGACATGACATAAGCAAATGATAATGTTATGGTAACACTTTACAATAAGGGTGCATTAGTTAACATTAGTTAATGCATTAGTTAACATGAACTAACAATGAATAACGCATTTATTAAGCATTAACTAACCTTTGTTAATGTTAACTAAACATTTATTTATGTTAGCTAATGCATTAGTAAACATGATCTAACAGTAATTAAGGACTTTGTTCAGCATTACTTAATCTTTGTTAATGTTTATTTACACATTATCTAATGCATCTCTTTACATGAACAGCTTAATTAGTTCATGTTTACTCACTCATACACTAACGCATTTGTTAATGGATTAGATCACTTGATCTTATAATGAACAACACATTTATAAAGCAATACTAAATCCTTGTTCATGAAAACTTACAATGTTAGTTAACATGAACAACATGTTAGCATAATTGGTAAAGCTTTTAATAAGTGCATAGTTCCTGATTAATGTCAGGGACAAAGGAGGACTCTTTTGGAGTGTATTACATCAGAACCTCAGCTTTAACTGTTATTCATGTTTGCTAATGCATTAGCTAACACATAAATAAATGTTTAGTTAACATTAACAAAGGTTAGGTAATGCTTAATAAATGCGTTATTCATTGTTAGTTCATGTTAACTAATGCATTAACTAATGTTAACTAATGCACCCTTATTGTAAAGTGTTATCAATGTGATAAACAGCAGACAGTTGTATGAAAGCAATTGATGCATGTCCAAAAGCATTTGCAATTTGTTGAAAGAAACGAGAAAATGCTACTATGATGTGCACAAATGACTAATTGTTTTCAGAAATCCTTTAACTGTTGTGCAAATGTAAATAGTGTTGTGAGAAATGCATCAAAGCCACTGAGAAAAACTGTAATCCGAGGTCCCCATCACATACACTACAGACAATTTAGCTTAGTCAATTCACCTATACCGCATGTCTTTAGACTTGTGGAGCACCCTGAGGAAACCCACGCTAACGTGGGGAGAACATGCAACTCCATACAGAAATGCCAACTGGTAATATACCCTGACCCAACTGGCCAGGCTGAGGCTCGAACCAGGGACCTTCTTGCTTTTGGGCGATCGGGCTACTCATTGCGCCATCATGACACCTCAATTATTATCTTATTCTTAATACTGGGGACTGGGGGTTCACCTGGAGGTTGAGGGTTGCACTGGTGTCCCTGCTCAATATCTGGATGCAGCCTTTATGATGCAAGCTGAGATTGCATCACTCAGCAATGCAGTGTCAGACACAATGCACTCAAATGGAGCGAGTGACGTCACTGTGATGGCTAGGGTTAGGTGAGCCCATTAAAAAGCATTGGATGCAGGCCAGATTACACTGCACCTGGTCTGCATACAGACCCCTCTTTCCCTCCTTGTAACAACAGAATTAAATGTCCTTCAAAGTTCAGTCTATAGAGGGCGCCAGAGCACTATTTACGTTTGCACATTAGAAGCCACACATTACTCATTAGAACACAATGTTGTAGACTGTATGACTTTCTTTAGCAAAACTACAGTTTTGGAACAACATTAGGTGTGTAAATTATTTCAGTCTGTTATGTTACCTGTTCAGCTATCACATAAAACAATTTTTAAGATTTCACATATAATAGTTTGTATGTTCCCCCCGTGTTCGCGTGGCTTTCCTCCGGGTGCTCCGGTTTGCCCCACAGTCCGAAGACATGCGGTATAAGTGAACTGAATAAACTAAATTGGCCATAGCCTATGTGTGTAAATGAGTGTGGATGGATATTGGATGGACAGTTCATTCTGCTGTGGTGACCGCTGATTAATAAAGGGACTAAGGCGAAGGAAAATTATTCTCATAAAATGTCGGTAACATTTTATTTTTGTCAAGAAGAAATAGTTTTGCAAACATAATTACAGATGCGGGAAAAACAGAATACTACATTCTTACAGTGTGTGAAAAGACTAAATTCGACAAACATGGCAAATCCTAAAAAAAAGTAACATTTGTGTAAATATTTACATTTTGTTCAAATACTGATTTTGAATAATTGTACATAACCAATCATCTACATACATTTCTTTGTCTTCTTATAATGACCACAAATCTGTATACAGTGTCAGGCAATATAAAAGTGCAATTTATTTGCTTAAGTCGTTTAAAGTCTGAGGTTTGGCCGAGTGAGAACACCACGACATCAGATGAACAGATCATGTTTAAGACTTGAAAATAATAATTCAGACATAAAAAAAAGAAGAAAAGCTTCAAAAAGCACCCTCAAAGTTGTCCCCATGACTCTCTAGCTTTGCATGATTAAAGTCATTATTCGGTCAGGTTGCATATGGATTGTAGTTGGAGCTTGACACGGCTGTTAAAATCTGCTGTTGTACTAAAAAATAATCACTTTTAGATATTTGTTACATTCCTAACAAATGGTGAGTTAATCAATTTTATTTTTGGGTGAACCGACCGACAATTAAGTATTTACACAGCAACTAGCATGCATTATAGTGTGTTTTGCACATTCATACAGCATATATAATTGTTGCTGTTGTACCATGTTGTGCATGTAAACACACTAAATGTCATACTAGATCTCTTGTTCATTAAAGAGGATGTTGTATGTGTTTGAAGATCTCATCTGTTTGTGTTATTTCAACTACTTTTCTGTTTAATGCAGTCGTGTTTATTTGTGGAATTTGTGCAGAAAAACTACATTACCCATGAAGCTGTGCTGAAAAAAATCCTCTAATCAGAGTCATAGCAAGCAAAGTGCACAAAATAAGATCTTTAGCTTACAACCACTTTCACAAAGCAATGCAAATGATGTACTTCTGTCCTATAGTTCTCTGTTGTTTTTAGTTTGTTATACACTACGCTTCATGGGATTGTAGTTCTTTTTCTCAATAAAGCTATACAGCAACTGTGTATTTTTGTCTTGGTTTCATAGATTTTTTTTCTTTAAAGTTTGCACTATTGTAATTGACCTCTTAGCTAATTGGTTTGGTTTATGACATACTTTTTAAATAAAGATATTTTTTAATGAATGGAAAAAAATGCTTCCAAAACCAGTAATGCTGGAAAAAGTGGACTTTTGCTCTAATTCTCTCTACTAAATGCATAGTTCACCTAAAAGTTTAATTTCTGTCATTGTTTACTAATTCATCACTTGTTATGTCACTGGTAAAAGTGTTTCCAGCATAGTGTATGCACATTTTAGAGGTGCTGTATGTACATTTTGACTCTTCTAAAGCATAAAAATACCAAAATATGTTTGCAAATATTGAAGAAACATGCTAAGTGAACATTCTTGGTTATATGAAAAACAATGCTGAAGTCAGATATTCTGCTTTGAAAATGTGCGTTACGAGCTAAAATGACTGTTTTTGTTTAGGCAATTTGACCCACCCAATGCCAGTAAAGCCAATTATATTTCAGTACCCCAGGATGCCTTGGTGGAAACCCCTGTGTTTCATTCATTTAGTCATGAAGGCACTTAAAGTATGCGTCCACGACCGAAATGCGACCTCTGGTGGACAGTAGCAGACTCCGAAATGAGACGCAGATTTAGAGTTCCACATGAGGTTGTTGTTAATTAGCAAATAATATAAATATTATTAGAGTAAACATTAGGTGAGCAGGTAACATTGTAACCCCTTGTCCTAACAACAGGTTTCATGGTGAGATTTGCAGTGATAAGCAATTTGGCTGTTTGTACCAGACAAAACACCACAGAAATTTAAACACAGCCATTCAGAAGCACAGAATAGTACACTTACTGCACTCCAACAAAATGGTAAGGTTTATAATCTAATCTACATGCATATTTAACATTATTAAATGTAAATGCTGAATCACTGATATGTGTTGGCCTTTTGAACAGTTTATATTATTTTCAAGATCTGATGTGAACTATCTGCTGCTGCTTTCAGTAGTATGGCAATAAATGTCATGTAAAATGGCATTCAAACTCACATTATTAGCATTTAACACTGAATAAAGCAGATGAGGTGTACCTGAGGTGATCATTTTCAGTTTTTTGTGGTCCTGCTGCACGAAATAGAAGCCCTTTTTAAAATATCAATTTCAGGTGTTGATTAGAACAAAAGTCAATTTAATATGGAGAATATTCCTTATATCGCATGCCGTTGCTTTTATTTAGAACACGACTTAAATCAGCCTTTAAGTTTGACAGGTAGGCATACTCCTGTTGGTGTCGTTAATCTAGCAACCTGCGTATGTGTGTGTTTTGAACCAGGCGTGTAATACCCAGTTCAACCACTAGGTGTCAAACTTGCATACAGCACCTTTAAAAAGCTTATCCAATAAGCATCTGTTGTTTTTTATTCACAGTTTTAAAATATATACGCATATTGGCATTTTCATTATGCATTTTTAACGCAATATTAACTGTGCATATAAATAGATAAAAAAGCTAATGGCTATATCTTGCTTGTGTTTAACAGAAGAAATGAATTAATTCCACTTGAGTGTGAGTAATTGATGAGGACATTTTTGTTTTGGGGTGAACTATCCCTTTAAGGCTATGACTGTAAGTGGTCCCTTTGTTACCTTCAACATCCAGATTACCTTTAAAAAAAGGGGTTCAGTTTAAACATGGCTGATTCAGACTTGCATACAAATTCCTCCAATCCACAGATAAAACACCATGCTATCTTCACTAACCCACCTCCAGTCAATAAACTGGGCAAACAGATGGGACATCAGACATCCAGTGACGTTCTGAAGTGTTGTGCCCTTTGCGCCAGCTCTTTGGCAATGTCATGTGCCTCCTGGACTGCCAGTTTGTCAGGGAAGTTCAAAGCCGCCTTCTTGGTCACCAAGGCTAGTTGCTTGAGCTGGGCACACAGCTGATTGCTCATGGCCAGCATCTCCTCACCGGCTTCTCGACTTTTAGCTTCACTGCAGAGAGTGTTGACGAGTCTTTGGCCGACCATGATAACCAGCTTGCTGTGGGAGATGAACTGTTCCGGAGGCTTGTTCTCATTCAGACTGCTTATGAACACGCTGATGGCTTTCTGAATGGCTCCGAAGTACAGCCGGCAGTGGTCAGAGATTGGACATTTCCTTGAGGTTTGGATTGGATTGCAAGGGCTGCCGGACTGTGGTTTGGAAACCTTTTAAAGACAAAATGAATAATGATTTTAACAGTTGAAAACAATATCAGGTTCAAATACAATAGAGTTACGTTTTCATACCTGTTTTTTCAAGGAATCACTGTTTCTCTTTGATTTAATGCTGCTCTTGGTTGGTTTTGGTTCCTGCTCAATCTCTGCTGTTGTCTGTGGAAAGCAAATATTCAGGTAAACAATGTTACTAATTATAGAGACCATTTATTGTATCACATGACAGTATTGAAAGATTATGTATATCTATTAAATGAAATTCTTTCTGAAGTATTGATTATAATAAGAAATGTTTCTGCACATCAGCACATTAACAGTATCACACGACACTAAAGACTGGAGTAATGACACAATATTACTGTTTTTACTGTATTTTGATTAAAGAGCCCCTATTATGCAATAAAAGGATCATATTTTGATTTTGAGAGTCTCCCAACAACAGACCAATATGCATGCAAGGTCAAAAAACACTTTTATTGTCTTATAATTTGCATTTAGTTTTACTTAATTATCCCAACGATTCCCATCTGATTTGTTCAGGGATTCATTTGTTCCCAAACCCCTCCTTAGCGCAATGCTAATCTGTGCTGATGACACAATCTATTGCAATTGGTTGACTGTGTTAAGTATGAGACAAAGAGAAATGCCCAACACGGCTTATCAACATTGTTGAAGTATTCAGAGTGCAGAGTGTATGTGTGAGCCCAATGAAGGAGTGCATTAAAGCAGCACAGTTTAACACCAACATATTGCTCTATTATTAACCACGGCACACATTCAGTATTACTCCACACAGTGGCAAAAGCTAAACTTTTTTTGAAACTTGACGATCCATGAACTGTGTACTGTAAAGTTCCTTTCAAGTTCTGACAAAGTCCCATACATCAATAGTCTTTTCTGAATCCTTGCTTTAACAAACGGCTGACAAATGCCCATTGTCAGCGTGTAGATTGCAGAAGCACTTGTCAGAAAAATGACAGGAACACAGCACAAGGCTGGGGGTATAATGCTAAGGTATTTTTGCAAAAATAAACTTCAACCACTGACTTTTCAAAGTCTCATCTTTGGTTAGGGAAAATAACACTAACTTTTCCTCACACTTCAGAGTACAGTATCTTCACGACATGATTCAACTGGGATCTGCTACAGTGTTTATCTTCTTTTTCTTTCTACAATGTTTTTGGGCGGGGCTAGGAGGTTTTAATTTTCCTGGGTCTGCGTGTGCAACAAATGTGCGGGGCGTGAGTTCCGTATCGAAGCAACATCGACACAACTAAAGATTTGTTACCAAGACAATTCATTTGAACCATTCTGAGTCGACTCTTTTATATATGAATCAATAGTTTTAAACACGGTGCACTTTCAGATTTAAGCCTTAGCTGGATATTTCACTTCACTTACAGCTGTGTTACACACTACATAAAAGGTTATTTTCAAAAACCTTTAATAGGGGCTCTTTAAATAAATGCAGCCTTTATGTATAGCAAGAGACCTCACAAAAACATATAACAACCCTGAACTTTTAAACAGCAGTGTATACAAACAACTTATTGGCCATTCAAATGTAGATTATTATTAATTTGTCATGTAAAGATAAAAAAAACTATTTGTTTATATTAATTGTCCTTTTATTTAAGATTTAGGCAGATAAATTATTTAAAAACACAATATAAATACAGAATTAGTGAGTTTTTGGTCATTAAAATGTACATTAGTGTTGATTAGTAAATTGTAAATTTAAAAAAAATATATTTATTTACATTTCCTTAACAAGATGAATATCTTTAAATGTTTAAAATTGTATTTATGAGACAAATTTATTATATTAAATATAAAAGTTAAACATATAAAATCTTTAAAGTATATCACTGATAAGATATTTCCATCTTTTTTTATTAATCACAGACTGAAACTGAGTTTATCTGGACTTTAAATCAGTGTTTCTCAACCACATTCTAAGAGGACCACCAATACTGCATGTTCTGGATGTCTCTTTTGTCTGTCACACCCATTACAGGTCTTTCGGTCTCTGCTAATGAGCTGATCATTTTAATTAGGTGTGTTTGATTAAGGAGACAGGAAAATGTGCAGAGCTGGTGGTCCTTCAAAAACGTTGTTGAGAAACACTGCTTTAAATCATGTTTCTTGTATGCTACATGTGGAAGATTGAGGACACAAGCAGTAAATTGCAAGCTGCAGTTCACTTAAAGGCCACAGGTGTCTCTAATAACAAAGGTTTCTGCATTCTACATAAAATTCATTAAAAGCTCCCTTGAAATTAAAATAAACATGTTATTTTGTACATGCTAATATTAGTATGGGGGCAGTGCCAGGCACAATGGGTAGCACTGTTGCCTCACAGCTAGAAGGTCACTGGTTGGTCATTTGGTTGGGTCAGTTGGCATTACTGTGAGGAGCTTGCATGTTCTCCCCATGTTCACATGGGTTTCCTCCAGGTAATCCTGTTTCCCCCATAAGTCCAAAGACATGCGGTATAGGTCAATTGGGTAAGCTACATTGTCTGTAGTGTATGTTTGTGATTTAGAGTGTATGGGTGTTTTCCCAGTGATGGGCTGCAGCTGGAAGGGCATCTGCTGCTTAAAATATATGCTAGATATGTTGGCGGTTCATTCCCTTGTGGCAACCCCTGATTAATAAAGGGACTAAGCCGAAAAGAAAACGAATGAATGAATATCAGTATGTTAATTTTAAGGATATCTAAAAGTATATGGATATCTATAAGATATATAGGCTAAATATACTTATACATTAAATAGGCTGATATCAATAAGATACATAGTGTGCTCCAAAAAAGTGACAAAATTCACATTCAGAAGGTATAAACCTGATATATAGATCAAAAGCATTCAGTTTGTCACTTCCGCCTAAATGGATCAACGATTTTTTGACATCACCTCATATACTTCAGTCTCTCATCAAATCTTCTGACCAGTCAAATGCTCTATAGCAGTGGTTCTCAAACTTTTTTCATCAAGTACCACCTCAGAAAAAAATTGTCTCTCCAAGTACCACCAAAATGAGCAGTATTAAAATACAGTAGCGTAGTAGGCCCAGTAAAGCAGCTACAACTCTGCATAGTTAAAAAAAACGTGGCAGATTACCTCAGAAATATAGGCTATGTCATATATGGAATATAATATACATAATTTTTGATAAATTTTGAAATATATATAGCATGTACATGACATATTTCATTCCTCCGCGTACCACTAGAAGGAAGCCTGTGTACCACTACTGGTACACGTACCACAGTTTGAGAACCACTGCTCTATAGTATCCGACATGCCCCGCCCCCTTTAACATGCTTCTCATTTGCTTTTCATTTGATGTGCTTGATCTCAACCACTCTCACTGGCAGAGCTGTGATAAAAACGAAACGCTATTGGCTGTTTTATATAGAGGGGAGGAGCTACTATATGTTCTGCATGTCTTCATGGTTCTGTTACATCAAATTTGAAATACAAAATGCAGATTTCAAAGCACTTAACGAGACCTTTAATAATGTCCATTTATGATAGTAGTAGAATGTTGAGATGTGATGCGATGTGCCTACCTGAAGTTGCACATAGTCACTCTCGTCTATCCCCGAGTCAACCATTGGTTCACATTTTTTGTGGTTTGTCCCTTCGGACGATCCCTCATTCTCCATCACCTCCAGCTCTTTCACCTGCACTCTGAAAAGAAGCTTTCCGTTCGCGTTCAGCATGGACACCAGCCTCTTCACATCCTCCGGCACGGTTCGAGCCACCATAACAAAGCGTTCCAGGTGATCAGGCATCTGTGAATGGCCAGCATCCTGAGCTAAAACCTCCAGATGCCAACCCTGATCTCGAAGAGCACTCGCAGCCTGTTGAAGAATCAGCCCCGAGTCCTCAACAATGGAGAGCTGCTTGAGGAGCCGAGTCTGTAGGTTCGAGTCTGTCAGCCGTTGTGCATTTCCTCGGACATCCAAAGTGAAGTTCAAGAAGGAGTCAATGGAGTCAGTCACGTCCTCGGATGCGGTGCGGATCTGATCGAGGTGCTGACCCAGGTGCTCTCTGCTCCTCCACTGGCTGCTGACGAACAGCATAAGTTTGGGCACTGACTGGCAAACCGCTTCCTTTAACTCAAGCAACTTGTTTCCAGCTTCCTCCTGGGAAAGGGTGATCTCACGCAAGGGTTCGGGTTCGGGAGAACTTAGCATGAAAGAGTCACAGGAACTCCTGGAAGAGCTGGAAGCTGTGGAGGAAGTGGACACCGTTGAACTCCTTTGGTGGTCTCTGGTACCCTCGTTGTCCCTCCTAACTGTACCTTCTAAAGGCTGTCTGAAGGGTGTCCTGCCTCTTGATGGCCATCGATGAAGTTGGTCGTACAACGGTCCTGGTTTACCCCTGTACTCGAGTGGTTCTTGGCCATTTTTAGAGTCCATCTCGGGAGGGCTTTGCTTTCTGGGTTGCTCTGCAGTAGTTTTGGTTTGTCTAAAGCAAGGTGGGACATCGTAAATGGATGAAATTGGTGAATACTCATTGACTGTGCAAGACTGTGTTAATGAAATGCTTGGTTTAGGGACGTCATATAGGGGCTGGATGGGACAGTGCTTCTTTTCAGGCCAAATGCGTGCCGGCAAAATGTCATAAAGAGCTGTGGTTGAGTCAATATCTTTTGGTGGCAGGGTGTCACAGTAACCAGGTTCACATCCCTGTTTTTGTGGAAAGACAGGCACGTCATAGATCCATTCCGACTTACAGGGATTTGGCATGGTACTATAACCACACCGAGGCTTTTTAGAATCCTCAGTGATGGAGGGTACTGGGAAGTCATAATTAGGGTCTTGGGTACCAAATGGAGGTAAGGTGGTAGCCTAACAAGACAAAAGGGTTTCAATTTTACCATAGAAATAGTTCTGATTCTGAAATTATTTAAAAGTTTGGGTAAAGTGATGTTAAAATGTGGGTTCTGGAAGATCTAAAATATACTTATAACAAATTCTAGTATGTGAAGTAAATGTAGTTGTGAGATGCACAAGCAGATGGTTAAACCCTGAACGTCCATCATTTAATGCATTGATTCAAAAAGTGTGGCGTCAGAGTGGCGGAGTGGAGAGCACGATATTTAAAAAGTGTGGGATCTGTATAAAATGGAAGGGATTTTGGTTAGTTTGTATGAATTTCCCATTTTATACAGCTCCCACAATTTTTTTATTTACTTTAAAAGTATATTTTAGATCTCCCAGAACCCACATATTACCATCACTTTACCCAGACTTTAAATTAATCTCATTAATAATTCTAAAATATGCTTATTACAAATTCTAGTAAATGAAGTAAATCTAGTTGTGAAATGCACATGCAGATAGTTAAATGTCCACTATATAATGCATTGATTCAAAAAGTGTGGGAGCTGTGAGAAATGAAACAAATAGCATTGCAAGGTCACAAAACTATTTTCTAAAGGGTCGGATCAGGTCACGACTTTAATCCTTCAATAATGACTCATGTTGTTATGAACAAGGTCTCTCCTTTTTTTATCCATCTGAAATATATCATGATTTCTCATATTATTTCACTTACATCATTTTTCACTTGTCCCTTTTTATTTTCGAAATATTTTTTATTCCTGGTTCTTCTTCACTTTATATATTCACTTACAACCATCAAGGTAGATGGAAATTGATGGACTAGAAAAAAAGTGTATGTGTGAGTGCGTGTGTGGGTTCTGAGTTTGTCACACAACAGAACAAAATGTGTTATTAACCACTCAAATTTGAATGATAAAACAAAGCACACCAGGTAACTGAAAAACAAAATCTCTGCTCTTGTATGCTGGGACGTGTTTGCTGGTGGTGGGATTTTAATGTATTTTTATGTGATGCTGTGCAAGCATTAACGTCCTTACCTTGTGATTAGTTGCAGTCTCACATCTCACATTTTGTAGCATTTGCAGCATATTTGTCGCCTCATTTCTGCTGTGAAATTCAGCGCTTGACATCAGTGATGTTTCCGAAGGGTGCAGAGGAGATGCCTTAAAAGGACAAGTCACACAATTTATTACATTAAATTGTGTCAGTATGATTTCAAATTTATTAAACTGGTATTTTAATGCTCTCTATGATCTAATGCAAGGGGTTTTTAAAGATATTTTTCCAAATGTGAGTTTGGAATATTAAAGGTAAAATAACTATTGAACACATGATTTTTCCTAAAAGCCCAAACATCATGAACATACTAATAAAACAATCTGAACAATTAGTTATGTGTAATAACAACAGGATGACATAATGAGAAGGTACTGAACTATTAAAATGTCTGTAATCCTGTTTAAAAGGCTAATATTGATAATGACCGCTTCAAAACACTTGTCGTATTGAGAATGGAATCGCATGTTGTGCTCAGGTTTGATTTTTTCTGAGATAAAAAATCTGGAAGGTTCTCTGGGTCTCGTCTATCAACTTTAATCTTGAGTTTATATTTTCCTTTGGATTCAGGAAAGTTGATTGGCTGGGCTATTCTAGCTGCTTTAAGGCACACTAACACTAAGTACAGTTAGCTTTAACCATGCCAAAACGCAATTGTTCCCTCTTCCCCTCGGCCAGCACTTACACTGCATTTTGCCTTCCGAACCTAAGCATGCTTACGTCATCGATAATGCAACTGCTGTTCAGTTTAACAGGAAGAGAAGCACTCTTGCTCAGCACAGTGGAGATTGCTTTAGTTATAGATTAGTTTAGTTAGTATATATATATATATATATATATATATATATATATATATATATATATATATATATATATATATATATATATATATATATTGGGCGACGCAGTGGCGCAGTAGGTAGTGCTGTCGCCTCACAGCAAGAAGGTCGCTGGGTCATTTGTTCGAACATCAGTTGGCGTTTCTGTGTGAAGTTTGCATGTTCTCCCTGCTGGTATTAGGAGGTTTGCTGAAGGTGCAGCTGATGTGCAGCCAGGGGCCAGCCAACTGAACCATGCCTGGATTCGGAGCACTCACACTTGTCAAATGAGCTGGGAAACATGCCTGGGCTCGTTTTAGATAGCATAGTGTGAGTGCACCCTTATTTTCTTTGCTGAAAGTAGTTAAATGTTTTCTTGCCTGTGTTTGGGATCATTGTCCATCTGAAAAATCCACCCTTGCTTCATCTAATGTAGATGTTGGACTGAAGCAGCTAATACTCATTTACACTAACAAGAAGCTGATTCGCTGAATAAATATTAAGAGATTCCAGCTGCTGTCTGGGCTTTCCATGCCTATCTACACCTTTCTTTCTTCGTGTGTTCAATACATTTTCCCTGTGTCTTTTCATTTTATTATTCATAACTTTCATTTCTGAAACAATTTTGTTTTCTTTGCATGTATGGATTATTTTAGTTGTTGCTGACATATAGGGAAAATTTCAAGTCAACGGCACATTTAAAACATGTTTTGTGAAAACAATGGTGACGTGTTGGAATGCTTATTTAACCTGATGTTTATACTGGACTTACTGTGAACAAGCAGGATTTTCTCAGCAGGTTTGGGACATCATATATATCTGCACCAGTTTTGGGATGAGCAGATAAGCCCTAAAAAAAATAGAAATGTACGTCTGTATTATAGACATTACTTTGCACTTCTTCATATAAGACAGAATCCTTTAAAATGTTGTGCCCTTCACCACATTTTTAGTCAGTCAACCCAGTTTTCTAATTAAAGCCATGCAACATACAGTAAGCTGCTAAGGTAAACACCTCTCCCTAAAGCAGGTGGGGAAGGGGGCAACATGTGAACCCGGTTGCCTTACCTATTACACAGTAACATGCAGTTTTTCCTGGACTTTCTCTCTCAGTTTCAGCCCTAAATCTTCTGGTTGCAGTTAGTGGTGTCTGAATTTTGTCGTTGCTGCTCTTTTAAAAGCTCATAAAGCCCCTGTACTACATACCTGTCCCCGCAGAGAGAGGCCCCTGGTCCCCATCTGTGAACTCTTTGCCAGCAGGGGTTTCCGAAACAGAGCTTGTTATTAGCCTGAGTTTAGCATATAGTCTACTAAATCATCAGCTAAATCATCAACGGCCTCAGTTCTGCAAACAGTCTAATAAACCATCCACACATTCTGTTCTCTCTTTTATGTTTGCCAGTGTTTGGAGATTGGCATTAAGTAAATCGTGAAATATGACATGAGTAAAAATGCACTCACATCAAGAATGATCACTATCTTAGCATCCACTCCAGTGTTGTTTATTATAACCACTGTTTGTCTTCTAAAATTAAGAGGCTATATAGTACTACATGTTTACTGGAAAAACAAAAGGATGTGATGATAACAGATGTATACAAGAACATTTGTTCCAGTCATATGTTCATTATAATGCTTAAAGAGCCTTTCTGTACTGTAATGTCAGTGTCATGTAATCATATTGATCCATTCAAACAATTTTCTTACAGTCAGAGACATACATAGTCTAGTATTTATGGTCTTTAGTCTCAAAAATGGTATATAATCAACTATAAAAATTGTATCGTTAAAAAAATGATGCTGATGAATTGCAAAACTGTAAACATTTCCATTTCACTATGATAAGATGCAACTGAGTCAATGATTTCAGTGAATCATTTCATATTGGATTCAATGGCTTACTCATGAGGACATGTACTTGTATGACACATGGCATCTTACAGAAGCAGTGACTGATAAAAAGTCCCCACATCTAAGTAACATGACATAGACATGTCACATGTGAAAGTCTACCCATAATGGACAAATCAGACATTACAACATTATAAAAACAATTAAAGAAGTTCTGTTATTGGATTCAAAAACTTATGGTAACACTTTAGAAATTAACCTATTCACACTATCAACTAATGGCTTATTACCTGCCTATTATTAAGATATTGGCTGATTATTTGTACTTACAAAGTACAAATTATGCATAATCTTACCATACATTGTACCTAATATTCTACCTAATACATAAACCTTATTATTACTACCTAAATAACTATTAATACGCAACAAATAAAAGAGTTTGAGGCAAAAAGCTATACACTGTAAAAAATATCAGTAAATAAAATGTTTTCTATGGTGGCCGAGAGAGCTTAACGTGCTGCAATTTAAGATTTTTATGCAAACATTGAACGAAACCCTGCTGCATTTTCACACAAAAAGAACAGAACACAACGGAAATGTTTCAAAGATGTGACGGATGTCGCTGTGCCGTGACTATCGCTCAATAAAGTTGTAGATGATCTTTGAAAGGTGAGTTTTTGTTTATTTTAACATCCTAATTCTCTTGTCATTAGTATTTATTAGCCTAAATAGTCATAACCTAAATAGTCGGGGCTGTCACGTTTAAGGGTCTTCTAAAAATATTTTCATGAAAATGGGAAATTTCGTAAAATTTGCCTTGTGAGAAAATTCAATGCATTTTCGTAAATTGTTTGTGTTGTAAGAAAATTCAGAGCGTTTCATTAATTGTGTTGTGAAAAATTGCAGTGCGATTTCGGAAATTGTTTTCTAAGAATATGCAGCACGTTTTATTAATTGTGTTGTGAGAAAATGCAGTGTGTTTTTGTAAATTGTTCGGTGTATGAAAATGGAGCGTTTTTATTAATTGTGTTTTTGTAAAATGTTTGCGTTGTGTGAAAATGCAGCGCGTTTTCTTAAATTGTTTGCGTTGTGAAAAAATGCAGTGTGTTTTCGTAAAATGTTTGCGTTGTGTGAAAATGCAGCACGTTTTCCTAAATTGTTTGCGTTGTGAAAAAATGCAGCGTGTTTTCGTAAAATGTTTGCGCTGTGTGAAAATGCAGCGCGTTTTCCTAAATTGTTTGCGTTGTGAAAAAATGCAGTGTTTTCGTAAAATGTTTGCGTTGTGTGAAAATGCAGCGCACTTTCCTAAATTGTTTGCGTTGTGAAAAAATGCAGTGTGTTTTCGTAAAATGTTTGCGTTGTGTGAAAATGCAGCGCACTTTCCTAAATTGTTTGCGTTGTGAAAAAATGCAGTGTGTTTTCGTAAAATGTTTGCGTTGTGTGAAAATGCAGCGCACTTTCCTAAATTGTTTGCGTTGTGAAAAAATGCAGTGTGTTTTCGTAAAATGTTTGCGTTGTGTGAAAATGCAGCGCACTTTCCTAAATTGTTTGCATTGTGAAAAAATGTAGTGTGTTCTATTAAATTTTTGTGTAGTGAGAAAATGCAGCACATTTTGAAAACAATTGTTTGCATTGTGTGAATTTGCAGCACGTGTGGTATTAAACTGCTGAAAATATTTTCTCAATTTTCTGACGTTTTAGTACTTGCATTTGTTTTCTTAAATTGCAGCATGTTAAGCTCTCTCTGTAGTTTCCGTATTTTGTGATTCATATTTTTTTTTTTATTTATGCTTTTGAATCACATTATGAGATTTTGACCTTTCTTCAGACAACTTTTAATCTTACAAAGTTACAAAAAGTGACATTTATGAACATTTTTAATAGTTTAAAGTAATATATTGTCTGGGTTGTTTTTGTATATTATGCTGCAAAAACCTTGTAATATACTGCCAGTACATGCTCTGTTATTTTACAGACTTATTTCTCAATATTTTCTTATACATTATATTTTTTCAAACAACTAAAATGTCAACAAAAGTCACTTTGTTGAACTGAGTTGAAACATCATAAGTGGACAGAGCAGAGATCAACATCCCATAAAATCCCAGAAAATAAAGAAACTGTTAATTAACAGATATTTTTTACAGTGTAGTTAAAGGGATAGGTCACCCAAAAATGAAAATTCAAAATCTACTCATCCTACACTTGTTCCAAACCTGTATAAGTTTCTTTTCTCTGTTGAACACAAAAGAAGATATACTCAAGAAGTTTGGGAAAAACAGCCATAGACTTTCATTCTATTTTTTTGTTCCTACTATAGATATCATTGGCATTCTTCGGAACTTGTTGAACAGAAGCATAATATTTACACTTTAGTACAACTTTAGTGTGATCTAATGGTGTGAAAAAGCTCTTTTTGGGGTGAATTTCCCTTTAATAATTAGCCAGTAATGATAACTGTACCTTAGAATAAAGTGTGACCAAACTTACATCATGTAAAGGCCTGGTTCCTTCAGGATCTTCTTGTTTGTTTGGTGAACAGACGCCTTGTGGAGGCACTTTATAAATAGTCTTCATATCTTCATAAATGGGCAACTCAGGGGACTTTGATAAAGCTATTGGTGTTTGATAGATGCTCTGATGGCTGTGATTGGTCGAACAGTCTCTCTCTGCAGCTATTTGTTCAGCCTCGGCCGGTGACAGAGGTGCCAGGCGGTTAGCGGGTGCCAGGCCCTGACGCCCCCGGAGAGCACACTTCCACCAGCCGGTGCTTCCCACAACGTTCTTCTCCAGCACCAAAATGATTTCACCCTTGCAGAACGCCAGCTCATCTTCGGTTTCAGCCGTGTTGGCATAGAGGGCTCTGGCAAACAGCGTCTGAAGGAAACAGAAGACAGAAGATATGACATAGTGATGCTTTCCTAAGACAAGACGAGATGCCATGACAATGAAGGACCACCGGCGCTGCTCTGGAATTGGATTTGGACAAACAATGGCTTTGTGCGAGTAGGATAATGGGACGGTGGTAACTAGGCACGACTCGGGAGCCCTCCTGAAAGAATCTAGTTCACTGGATCTCCTCAAATGCTTCGTGAGAAAGGCAACACATATAGACGTCAGATGTTTTGATTTCTTTGTCGTGCAGCAGTATGATGCAAATTGGGGATGTAAAACATTTGTGGTCTTGGTTGCTTACTACACATCTACTAGACTGAAGAAGGAAATGAAAAATTAAACGAGCGACAGATTGGTTGTTGAAAATGTTTTTTTAGTGTTGGGTGACAAAAGAAATGATTGGGACAAGATTATAGAAAAGCAATGCGAGTTCAAATGTTGTAGACTCTAAAAAATGCTGGGTTATTGTAATTCAACAGTGGGTAAAATATGGACTAACTCTAAAAATGTACACTATAAAATTTTGCTGAAAAATTTACAGTGTTACTAACAATTTTGATTGCCAGTAATACTGTAAAATGTACCAGTGCACTGTAAGTGAACAATTAAGGCTGATTTATACTTCTGCGTCAAGCGCACGTGTATGGTCTGACTCAGCCTTCGTGCAGTCACATGGTCTTCGCTGGGGCTCACACCAACATTGCACCTCACAGCACCTTTCAAAAAAATTTAACTACACGTTGCAATGACACATAGTGCAAGCTCTGTGATTGGTTGATGAGTGTGGCCGGTGCAATTTATTGTATATTATTTTAGTTTCATTTAAAATGTAGATATTACTTTAAAGGGCCATAACACCCCCCACTTTCGGTTAAAGTCTACTTCAGAATTTTTTCAAAAGATGCATGATTAATGGGCGTGGAGCTCCGCGAGCATCGGGCAGGAGTGGGCGTAGCCAGCAGGGGAGAACGTGAGCGAACAACTGTTGTTGTCAGTTAGCTCACAAAATGAGACACAAACTGTGAGGAGACACATGAGTTTATAGTTTACAAAGTTAAAATGCAAAGAAATGAACAGTGATTTAATGCCCTGCTACATTTGTTATTCGTAATTTCATATACACATAACCACAATTTTCATTATAAAGATAAGTGTGTTCATGTATACCCTATAAATGAGGACTTCTCCCTGAATCCCCGTATCCAGCAGACTCAGTGCAGCAGGTCTCCTGACCTGTCTATTTTAACCATTAGCCCTGCTGGTAATCTGGAGGATTTAGGCAAACACAGCAGCACGGCGATGTGTCTGAATGTGAAAGAACTCCTGACAAACACAGCATCCGCTATTCTCTAATTCTCGTGCTGCTCTCCCGACAAAAATGCTAGCAGCACGCACACAGCTTTGCTGTATGATCGGCCCTGACAAGATCGCGGGGGAAAACATGCAACAAACCCCGTGGATGATGGAAACAAACGCATATGAGGCTTTATGAACGGCTAAATAATGCGCCGTGGTTTCCGTTTCTCACAGCTCGGGCTTGACACTGGCAGGTCTGGCAGGTCTCATGAATAATTAAGCAGCCGGCTCTTCTCATAGGATAAGAAAACTCCGCTATGAATAATAATGAGAAACCGACGCGTCATAATTGCACTTGCAGTACTGCGCTACATCGCTGATTTTGATCCCGCCCCAAAAATCATTTTAAACCCGGAAGCTGAAATTAGCTGACAAAAGCTCAAAATTATCCAGTTTTCAACACAATTAAAGCTGACAGGTGCTAACATTGTCTTAACTGATGCTCAACACACACATATCTGTTAATATAAAAAAAAAAAAAAAGTTATCCGGGGTGTCCTGAACCTTTAAAATAAAAAGAAAAGTATATTTATAAAGAAGAAGAAATGCTAAATAAATAAGTAAATGAATTAATAAAATTACAAAGGGTGCGCTGGAATTGTCTTGGTCCTCCAAATCACTAATCCACCCCTGGTTAAATTCAATCTGCAATTGAAAAACCCTAAGGCCTAAATTGTCTGTAGAAGCAGTTCTTAAATGCAAAAAAAGAAAAGAAAAAAATTAAATAAATAAATATATATATATATATATATATATATATATATATATATATATATATATATATATATATATATATATATTCATAAATGGAAGTTATCATACAATTTTTGATACTATTTTCCTAATATTGAGAACTCTATAATTGAGTATAGGGATGTTTGGAAGCAGTTGGATGGATAAATAGTCGTAGTTATCACTTCCTGCGATAATTTTCTTTAGAAATAGGAAACATCTTCTAAAAACTTCCCTTTAGTCTTCAATTCCACGTAAACAACGTTTGGCAATTCTGGTCTAGACTGTGTGAACAATGAATCCACTCAAATCATTTTTAGCAGAGCTATCTCCAGCACTATTTCCGGAGCTTGATTCTTCCACAGGTACTTCAACTGCACGTGCGCGTGAAGACATTTAAAAATAGAGACACAGACACCTGCAGCTGCAAATCAGGGAGTAAACAAGAGATTTGATGCGGGTGACATCTGGAGAGACACTCACTCAACACACGCTTCTACTATGTGCACATGTCTCTTTAAAGCCGTCACATGTGCTCGCAAATTCTTCAGCAGCAACAGTGCACACGCTTAAAATGAAACAGCACATATCACAGGCCCACTACAGCACAGGATGGAGGAAGAGCTTCAGGAACACTAACTGAAACTCAATTCAACTCTCTCAGTTCAAGTGGTTGAGTCAAATAGTGGTAGTGGTTTTGTTCATTTGGGATAAATAAAGTTGTATTAATTTAATTTGCCAGTTTGTGAGATTTAATATTTGAACATATTTGAAGTGACGAATTTCATTTTGGCCAAATGTTTGCTTGACTATTTAGCAATGCTATTTTAATTTAAAAAGCATTAAAAAAAAAAAAAAAAATATATATATATATATATATATATATATATATATATATATATATATATATATATTTTATTTTATTTTATTTTTTCTATTTTTCAGTCAAGATTTTATTCAATTATAATTGTAAAAAGTAAAGAGAGGATATAATTTAGTGTGTATATATGTATGTATTTATTTATTTATTTATATAATCATATATATAAGTGTATATCATTTATATAAGTGTATATTATATGTGTGTACTAATATAAATATATATATATATATATATATATATATATATATATATATATATATATATATATATATATATATATATATTATATGTAATAATAATATATATTATATGTAATAAATATATGTATTTATTTATTTATATAATCATATATATAAGTGTATATCATTTATATAAGTGTATATTATATGTGTGTACTAATATAAATATATATATATATATAGACTGAGTGCCTTAGTGTCCCATTAATGATGATATACAGCCATATCACACTGCTACGAGTGTGATATTGCATTTATACAACAGTTCGACGGCACAATCATGTATTTAAAAAGTAAATCAAACACAGAGTGTTTAAAAATCATTTTGTAAAAGGAACTACTTTCTACCACCATTCATTTACATCTGCAGCTGACGTCAGAACAGCAGAAGTGTTTGATTCTCTGGTGTAATATCTTAAGTGATGACAAAACAGGTTATTTTGCTCATATTGTAAGATTATAAGGCTGAGCGGCATGAAATCAGTCTAGAGACATTCCCATTTTCTGTTGCTCACAATAATTAACCCCAAAAGCCAAAGGCAAACATAAAACAGTACATGGTATAAATTCAGCACTACAACATACAGCAGAGAAAGATCAACTTAGAAAGTCATTTACCAGTTTAACAATGATTTGATCAGCTGTAGTTTGAAACTTACACCAAGTTTCAATCCTCTAAGGAGTCTTTGTGGCCATCTTGTGGCGGAACGTCATTCGTTTTCGCACTGCTTAGTATGACAGGCTGACGCGCTGTCTCTCAGAAATGATAAATATTTAAAAAAAAAACAATATCCTTATAAATAAACTGCATTGTTGAAATCTAAACAACTACATTCTTGACTAAAAAGCCTCAAAAGAACATTATGTTGCCCAACAGCTGCAATATTTGTCAAACTGTATTGAGTTTATTGATCTGGTGTCACTCTATGTGGGCAGAGTAATACAGAAGGGTGACGAGGCTTATTAAGTGCTGTTATTAGAGAATATTTCACGGCTATCAGCCAATTAAATGCGAGAACCTGAAGGAACAGTTGAATGTTTAGAACAGGGGAACTACTTTATGTGCTATATAGCACATATATCTTTAAAGACAGTGCTTTGTAGCACCTTAGCCACACCAAAGAACAACTAATAAACCACGAAGCCAAAGAAGCAATTAGCAGTGCTAAATAGCATCTATACCACAGAGATGCAAAATAACCTAATTTATTTGTGTGTACACTCTAAAAACACATGTTGCCAATGCCAAATAGAACCACATTAAGTGCTATGTAGAACCTAGAAACTATAAAGGTTCTCTAGTGGTTCTTTTAGATGGTTAAGTTGCTATATGGTGCATGTATTACTAAAAGTGGTTGTTTGGCTTGTAATCATACACTGTAAAACCCAACAGTCAACTTTATCAAATGAAATGTAGTGTAGTTAACTCAAAATCTACTAAAAGTTAATTCTACTCATTTGATAACAGTTTTGAAGTCAGTGTTGAAGGTAATGAGTTAATTAAATACCTCATTACGTTAACTAACTTAAATGGAGTAAGTTCACAGTACTCGTATAGATTAGCTTTTTAACTCAAATGGTTTCCTCAAACGGTTTGAGTTGCCGGAGCTTATTGGGTTTTAAGGTACTCAGTTGGTCTGAGTTCTTTTCATTTTTTAGGTTTTACTGTGCTCAAATTGCTTCTTTTATTCAAACGCATTAAAGAGTCCATATTATACATGAAATAGGGTCATATCTTGGTTGTAAGGGTCTCCAACAACAGTCTAATATGC